TTGACTGCCTCATCCTCCTTTATGGATGGATTAGCAATAAAAAGAACAGGCTTGAGCAGGCCCGAGAGTATGGTGAAAGAATGTTGAACAAGGAGATGAGAATGTGAGATGGAAGGCTGGCCTGGAGCCTGTGTACAAATACAGCAAATAGCGTGCTGGAGGTCACAGGAATCAGGGTTCAGCTTGGCTCCTGGGCGAAAACCACTTTTTTTTTTTTGGGAGGGGGGTTGCGAGTCATAATTATCTCCTTGGAATGGCAGAACACTTATGAGATATCACAGTGACAAGTGGTGTCTTGCAACTGGTAAAACAGTTGGTGTCATAATGTCACTTTTGGAAAATAGAACTCAGTGCCTGTCACTTTTGCCATTCAGACCCACAGCAAGGAAACTGCCTGGGAAAGCTCCACAGAAACTCAGAGATCCTCAAGATACTATGCTAGGGGCACTCGAAGTCGTGGGGGGAGGGCGAGGGCTTGATAAGCTCAGAATGCTACGGGCCAGTTGACAGCTGTGTGAACCCTCTTACTAATTGGTGGTAGAGATTTTTCTGAGTGACGTGAAGGCAAAATCTCATGGCTGTTTTCAGGACCCATCCCTCACCCACACCCTGTTCACGACAGGGCTGTCGATGGTACTGTCACTAGCATCTACCTTTCCAATTTCATTGTCTTGTGTGTGTGTCTTTTACTTGCATGTATGTTTGGGTATCCCATATATGCAGTTGTCCCCGTCCCCCCCTCCCTCCCCCCCCCCCGCACCCTGGTCAGAGAGGGCTTCTGATCCCCCAAGACTGGACTTACAGAGCCCTGCCATGTGGGGACTGAACAAGGGTCCTTTAGAAGAGCCATTGCTCCAGCCTCAGAGCCAACCTTTCAACCTCGGTTATGGCTGCAGAGTTGCAACAGACACCTTTGGCCTCTGCCAGGGCCCTCCCTCATTGCTCCATATCCAGGAATCTTGGTAAGAGCAGAGGCCAGGGATGGCTTAGCAGCTTGGTATGGCTTCCAGCCCAGCCTTTCTCCCAATGGTCCCTGGAGCTCCACTCCAAATCCTTCAAGAAAGTTAAAGGTGGGGCTGTGCCAACCTACCTTGTTTACCTTGGGCCTTCTCTTCCTCCTCTGCAAGGCTAGGTTCCAGAACCAGCTTCCCTGCAGCCTCTGACTCCTCTCCATACCCCCACCCCACCTTCATTGTTGGCCAAGCCAGGCTAAGCTCCATAGTCTCTGGTGACTCCCAGCTTCTGCTCAATGCCCAAGCACCCTTGGCTTCTTTGGTGGTTTTGCTTTTCTAAAACATTTCATTTAATGTCCACGTGCATTGTGACTTCCAGGAGGGCAGAGGTGGCTGATGTATGGATGTTGACACCCAGCAGGGCTTTGGAACACATGCACAAAATAGGGGACCCGGTCCTTCACTTTTGGCTTCCCAATAGGCTGGCCCTTAGTGCAGGCAGAAAATGTGGATATTGGCTGATTGGGGCTGGTCCCTGGGACAGGCTGGACATGGCCAGAACTCTCCCAGGCTTCAGTGCCGTTCAGGCTCCAATCAGGACACCATCACCTTTCCCATTCCTCTCCTGAGGTCTCAAACCTATAATCCCACCACACTGGAGGCTGAGGCAAGAGGATCTTGAACTTGAGGTCAGCCTAGGCTACACATCAAGTGCCTGTCTCACAAAATATAATAAGGACCTGAGAGAAAGGTCAGAGGTTAGCAGTGTGCACTGCTCTTGCCGATGGCCCCTGTCCGGCTGCCAGTACCCATGTCAAGTGGCTTGCAATTGCATTTAATTCTAGTCCAGGGGATCCAACTTCCTCTGGTCTGAGCAGGCACCTGCACACATATGGTACATATAAACTCATGTATGTACACATATATGTAAATATAAAATAAAGCTTTAGAACAGTTCCTTCTTTAAAAATAAACACACATGGCTGGGTGGTGGTGGTGCACTTGGGAGGCAGAGGCACGTGGATCTCTGTGAGTTCAAGGCCACTGTGGTCTATAGAGGGAGTTCCAGGACAGTCAAGGCTACATATAGAAACTGTGTCTTGAAAAACCAAACGTTATTTATCCCTAGTATACGAAAGGACTTTGGGAGTCCATTCCACATAGAGGGGTACTCTCTCAGCCTAGACACACGGGGGAGGGCTTAGGCCCTGCTCCAAATGATATGATGGACTTTGAAGATTCCCCTTGGAAGGCCTCACCCTCCCTGGAGAGCAAAAGGGGATGGGATAGGAGTTGGGGCGGGGGGAAGGAGAGGGAACTGGGATTGGCATGTAAAACAAGCTTGTTTCAAATTTAAGTTAAAAAAAGGGGAGGGGGAGAAAAACCAAACACCCACAAAACAAAAGCATTATTCGGTAGGCTGAACAGTAAACTCTCACATGTTCTCAGTACTTGCTGTGTCTTCTTTGGTTGCAGTGAGAGGGGACAATGTGGCTTGGAGCTAAGAGTAAGGCTTCAGGAGACACTCCTGGGACTGACCCTAACCAGGGTCCTTGCTGTGTGGCCTCAATTTTCTAACCAAGCAAGAGAATGAACTCCAGGAGAAGACAGAGGAGAAGGTCTGGCCTGAATGAGGCTCAGGAAACGTGTTTATTCCCAATAGAAGTAATCGTGGCCCTGCCACAAGCATCACCCACGCACCCCCTTACACACTTTGTCAGGGTGAGAAAGGAGATCCAACATTCTCACAAACAATGCCTGACACTACGTTCACACATTCTGCTTTCAAGTTTGTTCTTTAGGCGGGGCGGTGGTGGCACACGCCTCATTCCCAGCACTCCGGAAAGCTGAGGCAGGTGATTCTCTGTGAGTTCGAGACCAGCCTGGTCTACAAGAGCTAATTCCAGGACAGCCTCCAAGGCCACAGAGAAATCCTGCCTCGAACCACCACCACCACCACCCCCCAAAAAAAAGAAAAGAAAAAAGTTTGTTCTTCAGAAAGATTGTTTTTATTCACTCTTACTAACAGGGTTACATGTAGCTTGGGCTAACCTTGAACTCTGTCTCTACTTCCCAAGAAACAGGTGTGTGCCACAAGTCTAACTCTGGCTGACTCTGATTTTGTTTTTCTGCACATATTATTGAACCTGAGCTTCTGGCAGGGTAGTAACATGCAGGTTTGTGCCAACGGTTTTCACCCCCAGGCTGCATGCAGCTGGGTAGGGACATGCAGCCATGGCTGTCACTATGGGCAGATTATTTGCTCAGCTCTTCCACAGCTCTGAGGTCTCATAATCCACCTCTGGTTTTGCATCCCAGGGCACAGCTGCTCTTGCAGCCATTCACAGACTAGGGTTAAAGACACTTGAGTCTTGTGTCCCTTCAGAGGCACAAGATTTTAAGTTTCTCCAGAAACATCTATGATGGTCACAATCTCTGCAGGGCACAGAAAAGGCACTTAGAAAATACCGGAACAGAGCAGTGGGGTGGGCCACCCACCCAGCACTCTTGCTAATCTTAAACTTGGAATCCCCTTGGGGACTTCCTTTGTGCATGTAGTACTGAGGACAAGCCCATAGTTGTGTGTGTTAGGTAAGTGCTCTACCACTGAGCCTCAGTCTCCATCTCTAGAGACTTCACCAACACCAAATAGCGCCAGTCACCTGGTCCAATGCTCTCATTTAGGATGAGGGGAAGGGGCGACAGGAATGCTTTGGCTGGTTTTAAAGGGCCACAAAAGGCTGTCCTAGTAAGCTAAAGGGTGCAAGCAACATGTTGCTCCTTGGGGGACTGTGCTTGATATGGCCTGACATGCTGGGAAACAGAAAGATGGTGATGTTCTATTCTTTTGGCCAGACTGCTCCCAGGAAACCCAGGCGGTGCCCTGGGTAGTTTCAGGGGACCAGCAGCAGGCAGAGCTCCAAAAGCCTTGCATGAGACAGCAACTGGGTGTGAGCTCAGTCGGGGAGAAATGACCCTGCCATTGAGCTGGGCCACTGCTAAGTGCTTCCAGGAGGAAACTTTTCCTGCTGTCTGTCAGCATGGCTTACTCTGCCAGATCTCACCTAATTTGGCAGCCCTTGGGGAGGACACCACCCCATAACCGCTGTGCATCTCAAATGCTCCCAGAGGCCAGCAAGGCACAGGGATTGCCATTGATTTCCACTTGTGCAGGCTGGCCTAACAAAACAATTCATCAAGCGTCTGTCTGCCTGCTCGTCCTAACTGCAATCAAATCAATGTCCCTGGTATCCAGAGGGCTGCAGATAAGACTTGAGCCCTGCTGGGTCAGGATCAGCCCAGCAAAGACCTCACTGTGGTTCCCTTGCACATCAGTTAAAGCCCAGGGGACCTGTTAGCTGATGCCCACTGCAGTGGGCCACACCTGGACTGCAGCCAAGTTCCACTCACTTCAATAGGGCTTGGCAGTGTATCTTCACTTCTTTTTAGTAGCTTCTAATCTCTAGAATTGGGCATAACTACAAGGCTCTATAACTGGCTAAGTATCTTTGTTCCAGCTGTGACATAGGGGTTGACATCATCTACATGGATCTACAACCTGTACAGCTAGGGATCAGACTGAGTTTCCACTTCCTGCCTGTGGCCTAGGAACACACTCTCAACCGATCTCACTTCCCGATCTGTACTGTGAACTGGAAACCATTCCCACCTCCTGAGGAGGAGAAACATGAGGTAGCAACAGAGGGGACCTTAGGCCTCACACTGGTGACTTCCTTCCACAGGCACACAGAAAGGGCTGATGTGCTTGGGCTCACACAGCAAGGAAGAACAAGCAACATTAGGAGTGGCGCTGAGGGCAAGCACGGAGAGTCGACTGACAGAGAATGGGGGCCACTGTGCCTTCTTGTCTTTCAGGTGGCGGTGTCACTGAGGAATGAGAGAGGGAAAAGGCTGGAGCATGTCATGGGACATTGTTGAAAGGTCAGAAACTTTATTCACGGGCCTCTTGTTGCTTCTGAATATACAGGTCTCCTGCCATCCAGGACTTCCGTGAGGTGGTGTCTTGCTGCACAAAGTAAGGGACACCTTGGCTTTTCCTCCCCATCCTTTCCAGCCAGCACTGCTGGGAGACAGCCTGCTTGATGACACTGAGTCCCTGCACCAAGGGATAAGGCACTTTGTGTTCGATAGGAAGGCGCTCACGGCTGGCTGGCAGGTGAGGTATGGTGGTGGCCTTGCAAGGCCTCCTTCACCCAGGCAGCTTTGTGACCTCAGGATGGGATCATGCCTTTGCTTCTCTTCCGGTCAGCCATGGTTCTGCGGTTGTGGTTGGCTCTGGTTGCCTTCTTGGCTTCTTTCTTCCTCCGCTCCTGGGTGGTTTCTCGGCTTTGCCCATGACCCCGGGGGCTGCCAGTCACTGCTGCAGAGTTCTCAGGCCGGTACCTGAAGGAGCAACGCCCACCCCACAATGATGGGCATCAGTTGGAAGAGGCTCTGACAGGAAGACTTCCACAGTGCACTCTGGTGGCTACACTGAGGTCATACCCTGGCCCAGGCCAGTGGACTGGATGATGGGCTCTTCCCTCTGCCACCCACACCAGCTTCAATGCTCTACTTTTACACACCAGGTTCTAACCTGGTGGCCTCCAAAGGCCAAATGTGCTCACAGACCAGGCTGAGGTTCTCTGTAGCCCACCAGCCTCTGGGATCTACTCAGAGCATTACCTCAGGGGGATGTATGGAAGAAAATCACAACAGCTTTGCTCTGATCAATAACCTGTGACTCCCTGTTACCCTCAGAATGAAATCAAATGTCTCTTGGTGAGGTCACCTATGCCCAGAGCTTAGGATGGGACTGGACTTCTACCCCTGGCCCATGCTTCTTCTACTCTTGGCCCATTTGGCCAGTTTCTTTACTAAGAAAGAGGGGACCTGACCGCCATCTCAGGGATTCCTGCTAAGACCCTCTCTCTGAGAGTGTTTCTTGGACTTTTTACCCTAATAAAACTCCTCCCCACCTGCGCGGTGTGGCACACACCTTTAATCCCAGCACTCTGAGTTCCAGGCCAGCCTGGTCTACAGGACAGCCAACGCTGCACAGCGAGACCCTGTCTGTAAAAACAAAACTCCTCTTCCACACCTTTCCACCCCAAGGCCTTAGCTCAAGTGCCCTGTGTCCCACCATGACTCTTGTCCAAGGATGTGTTTTCCGCCTGGGCTCTTTTCATTCCACCAGGAGCCTTGCACACACTGCCATGCTGAGTGACAGACTTACACTGTGAAGTAATGATTACGGGTGCGGAACACAAAGCTGAGCCATCTGCGCTCAACCCTTTTTATTTGTTTCCGAGACAGACTCTCACTATGTACCCTTAGAACCAGAGGTCCTCTTGTGGAGTATTAGTTAAAGATGTGTTACATTCCTTTATCCTATTGAACATTTGTTTAATGATGTAAAGATGTGTGGATTCTTTTATGCTGCACTTGTTTAACTCTGTAGAGCTGTGTTATTTGCCTGTCTAAAACACCCGGATGGTTTAATAAAAAGAAGAACCACCAATGACTAGGCAGGACAGAGAAGTAGGTGGGGCTGGCACACAGAGAGAATAAACAGGAAAAGAAAAGACAGGAGGGAAAAATCAAGAAAAAGAGGCGTGGAGGATGGGGGGGGGGCACCCAGCTACCAAGCCAGACACAGAGTAAGAAGGTAAGAAAAGATGCACAGAAACAGAAAAAGCTCAAAGCCCAGAAAAGGTAGACAGGATAACTTAAAAATAGCTGGCTAGAAATAAGCCAGGCTACAGGCAGGCATTCATAAGAAAGAATGAATCCGTGTGATTCCTGTTTGGGACTGGGTGGTGGGCCTCCCAAAGGGTAAAGAACAAAACCAAACCCTCCTGCACCCTCTGTCCTTTGTCACCTGAGTACGGTGCTCACAGGCTCACACTGTGACGCTTGGCTTCCATGTGTGACAAGGTTTTGCTATGCTGCCCAGATTGGTTTTGAAATCTTGGTTCAGCTTTCCAAGTAGCTGAGACTACAGGCACACACTTTGATTGGCTTCCATCTTTGGGTGATACTTAATGCTGTATGACCTTTACTGAGTTATTTAACATCTCTGGGCCAAACCAGATGATGAAACTGATAGTAACAGTTACTTGCTAGAGCTAGACAAGAGCTAAGTACCCCAAAGTCCCCAGGGGCTGGACAGTGGGGGGTGCACACCTTTATTCCCAGAATTTGGGAGGTAGAAGCAGGCAGATCTCTGAGTTTGAGGCCAGCCTGGTCTATAGAGCTAGTTCAGGACAGCCAGGGCTAGAAACCCCCAGAGTTTCCTGCACAGTCAGCTTGGCTCCCCTGATGGGTCTCCTCCAGGTGAATTAGCCCCTCCAATGCTCACCCTTTCCTGGCGAGGAAGGCCAAGCGTCTGGCTTCAGCCTTTTCTCTCAGCACTGCAGGATCCTGGATGAAATGGTCCAGCTGTAGAAGGAAGAGAAGACAAAATCTTCAATCATGTGCTTTTCTATTCCCAGGGGCTGTGTGGATCCATGCTGGAAGGAACCCTGATGCATCAAACATGTGGGGATTGCTACCGCAGGTAGGGTGGGAAATCTTCAGGATTGAGCTAGCTTGTTGCCAGGTGAAGCTTCCTTTAGGGAGGGAAGAAGCTAAAGGGATATGAGGCAGGCTGTCGTGGTGAAAAGACCACAGTTGCCACACCAATGGGAGTGTGTGTGGCTTTGGCAGAGATGGCCAACAGGAAAGGACACAAAAGGCCACGAAAACTGACTAAGGCCCCAGGAGGCAGGCTTGCCCTGAAACTCGAAGGTCAGGGCTCACTCTGGTGCAGGTCAGGGCTATGTGAGAGCTCCCTTTGAGGACAGCTTTGTATGCTCAAGGTGTATGGTGGATCTGTGCAGGGGAAAGTTGGGACCTCAGGAAACAGGCAGGCTGACAAATAGCATATCTTAAAAATAAAATAAAATAAAAATCCAAAGGAGTGGCATTAGTGACATGGGAGATTCATATGCAAACCTGGACTTAGCACAGGTTAGGCAGAAGAGGGATGGAGCTAAGTGTCTGAGAGCCCTCCGGCAGGTCATGTACTTCCCATCACTTGGGCTAGTTCCCACCAGGGCCTCCATGCAGCCCTGGGAACGGCTGGCTTTGTCTCCTGTTGGGGGCTGACTGGCTACTGCCCTCAAATGGAACAAAATCACTTTTCTTTGGTTTTCTATGCTGAATTTCAAGTTAAGATTTCAGCTGAAGAAGTTTACCTGCTAAGACTGACTTTTCAGACCTACTAGGTCTAGATGACCTCAGAGCCTCAGGGCTCTAAGTCTTCACTAATTTTTAAGAACCGTTAGCCTGGGCACAGCAGCCCACATCTACCCTTCCTTCTTCCAGACCATAGCACCTAATGAATGACTCAGCTGTTCACAGACCCAGCCTCTAATCTGTCCCCTGGGAAGCCCCTGGGCAATGGAGTAGAGATCAATGCTAGCAGCTCTCCAAACAGTCTATGCTTGAAGGGACCCTCCCCAAACCAGCAGGGTCAGAGGCAGGAGAGACTGGAGGCAGTGTCTAATTTGCCCTTCAGAGCTGCATCTTTTTAATCTGCCACCTGCCCAGGATATACCTTGGGGGCCTCCTCTTCAACCTCCTCCGCTTCATATTCCTCCTCCTGTCCTTCTCCGGGCATTTTGGTTCTCAGCACCTGAGGGATGGTGAAGGGCCTGAGGGTTGAAAAAGAAAGTGAGATCAAAGACTGACTTGGAGAGTGGCCTCCTGCCTCCAGAGCAGGCTGGGGAGGTGCACTGTTCAGGAGGCCAGGGAACCCCCACAGGGGTTTTCAAACAGGCTTTGCTTTAGTCCCCAGATTCTTTAAAGGTCCCATGGTCTGATGTAGAGAGAGCAGGGGGTAGCTGAGCTGGGGCCCTAGGGATCCCCAGTCTTCTTGTTCATCAGGGAAGCCTCTGCTTTGATCTGCACAGGAGAATCCCTACAAGATTCTGCTAACAAAAATGTTCAGCACTTAGGAAAAAAACATGACTTGCTAAGATCAAAAAGAAAAATAAAAAAAAAGTTTCTGATTTGGTATGGGCTGGGGTGAAGGAGCAGAGGGTGGGGGTGGGAAATCCTGGCTGTGGGCTGAGTCCTGGCTTCCTGACACTAGTATGTCAACCTTACAACTCACCTGCGGCTGATGAGTTCATCATCAGAGTCTGCATCGTTGGCGCCCACCTGGTTGCCATCATATGTGTCATCATACTCATCCTCATAGTCATCAACCTGGTATTCTCCTGGCTGCAGTGGGACCTGCAACAGCAGACTCATAGGTCAGAGCAGCTGGGGGACTGCTGGATTTCCCACACCCAGCAGGGGCCCGGACTGGACAGCCTACCTCCTCCATTACCACACTGTACTGCTGGTAGCGATGCCACTGAGCCAACACAGCTTGCTTGTCATTCACCAGGCTTCTGGCGTTCTCCTCCTTCCTGGAGCCAGGGACAGCAGGGAGAGAGGGAGGACACCATCAAGTTCTGAAAGACTGCGGAGGGCAAAAGGTCCACAAAGATGCTGGGTTCACTTCTTTATACCTCAGACCCTGCTGAGGCCACATGCATTCTTTGTACTTAGCCCAGGAAAGCCTCAAGCTCTCTTCGGGGAAGCAAGAGGGGGGTCCAGCCTCTTCCTCTTTCCCCCTTCACTACTGCAGCTCCCATCCTGTTCTGCAGCTCCCATGCGAGAGAACCGTGGGAGGAGGAAAGTCTGGTAGTCCAACTGCTATCAGCTGTGTCGAAAGTGGGGACAGATGGCAGCGGTGGAGGGGAAGGGACACACCTGGCTCACCCTGAACTGTGTGCATCACGGTGTCGGCAGGGCCTCAGGCCTCTCACCATGGCTTTGCAAACCTGTAGAGAATCTTGGCTTGTCAGCCACATACACAGGCTCAAGGGATGTGGGTTGTTTGTTTGTTTGGTTTTGGATTTTGGGCCCTGCAGGGAAAATCAATTAGAGATGCCAGGCAACGAATCCAGCTTAGTGATGCTATCTGGTCTCTGGAATGTATCAAGAAGAAGAAGAAGGGGTCCGAGAAAAATAAAGTGAGACAGAACCGTGCAGACTCTGTGTAGACCTTCCAATGACTGGCTCTGGGTGGGTGGCCGGCATCTGGGTCTGTAGGGTGTCTGGGAGCAGGTTGGAACTGCAGTCTCAGTATGGTCAGTAAGGCTTTGCCGCCCTGTAACAATCTTTATTAAGGGCTTCTACGTGCCAGGCCAAGTTCTAAGGCTGAGCAGGGAAGAGATTCAGAAAGGGGTCAGGTATGTATCTGCACTCACAGTGGAATTGGGGGTGAAAGGCACAAAATATGCTGAATGGAGGTGGGCTACCACCTGACAGACAGAAGAGAGGGTGCCAGCGTGGGTCTGGAGGAAGGGGCAAGGAAACCCCATGACTGGAGGGTATTTGATTACATCAGGAGCCCACAATGAGACACAAAGGATGTTGTATTTGATTTAGATCTGAGAGAAACCTTAGGTAAACAGGAATCTTACTTGGCTGTGATGATTCATGCCTATAGCTCTAGGATATGAGAGTCTAGGGTAGGAGGAACTGCCAAGAGTTAAAGGTCAGCCTGGGCTACAGAGACCCCTGATTATGGTGGCAAAAGCCTATGATCCCAGAACTGAAGAGGAAGCAAGAGGATCGGGAGCTCAAGGTCAGCCTCAGCTACATGGTGGGCTAGAGGCCAGCTTAGACTACATGAGTCCTTGTCTTAAATAAAACAATTAAAAACAAACAAACAAGCAAAAAGACCAACCTAGGAATCCTTCCCAGACCTGTAACAGTGGCCTTGGTTTTACATCTGACTCTCCTTGCTAGTTTTGCAAAGAGGTAAAAAACTGAAAGGGACCCAAGCCTCCCCAGGAGGCTGGTACCACTGGTGAGAACACATTCACGCACTCAGCCATGCTTTCTGAGATGCCAGGTTCTGTGCAGGGTCCATGAAGAGGAGAGGTGTCGTCATTGTCTGGCAGCTCCCTGAGGCTCCTGGTTTCTGTCATCACTGGGCAGTGAAGGTGGGTAGTGTCTAGTTATGTGGCCTTTTGCAGGGCCAAATGGAGAAGTCACCCTTTATAGAGCCCCCCCCCCCCCGGGCCTTGGGAGAGGACAGGTCGCAGAGCCAGGGGCCTGGGCAGTCTGTCTAGGGCACTGCACTTTGCTTCCTTGACTGGATTTGGAGCCAAGACGAAAGAGGATCCCACACCAGCAGCTGGGAAAGATCCACTCATAAGCTAGGCCTTCACCCTCCTCTAGACACAGGCAACGGGCTCTCTCACTGCCTTTGAACTCGTGGCCTCCTAGGAAGTGGCAGCAAGGCTGGGAGCATGCCTGCTCTCCTGAAGCTCGTCGCCCTTTCTCTTCTCATCCACTCAACCCTGTTCTAGAAAGACTGGATTCAAACAGGTCCTTAGTGGCCTGGACAGACAACAAACATTCCAGGTGAGGAAGCTCTGGGACACACAAAGGCAGAGAAACCTGGCCAGCGTCACAGCTTCTAAGAGAAGGTTCAGGGCCTGACTTGGGTTTGCTCTGCACTTACTTTCTTTTTGTGTTTTTTTGAGACAGGGTTTCTCTGTGTAGCTTTTGTAGACCAGGCTGGCCTTGAACTCACAGAGATCCTCCTGCCTCTGCCTCCTGAGTGCTGGGATTAAAGGCATGTGCCACTACTGCTTGGCTTGCTCTACACTTTCTAAGCTGGGTGACTACATCAAGCCTCTAGCCTCATTAAATCATAGTTCCATGCATGATATGGACTGGAAAGATGGTTCAGTGGTTAAGAGCACTGGCTGTTCTTGTAAAGGACCCAGGCTCAATTGCCACTACTCACATGGGGGCTCACAACCATCTGTAACGTACGTATGTATGTATTTATTCTGTGAGTTCCAGGCCAGCCAGGGCAACACAGTGAGACCCTATCTCAAAACAAGACAAATAAAAAATCCCCTTAGTTTCTGCTAATGTATTCACTTCGCAGGGGTGAGCTGGGAACGAAATGAGATGATGTGTGAAGCTGAGCAGAGTGAGGCAGCAGCGTGCACGGCTGCAATGCCAGTGCTGGGGACGTAGTACAGGAAGACAATGAGTTCAGAGTCCTCTTAGGCTGCTTAGTGAGTCTGAGGCTCACTGGAGTTGCACTAGACTCTGTCTCAAACAGAAAACAACAATAAAACAAAACAACAAAACCAAGGGGGGAAAAAAAAAGACAAAAAAGATACAGACATGGACCAGCATTTGCTGTGCTCAAAAAATTGAATTCGGTTTCTTCTGTTTGTCAGTCTTACATGCTAGTGTACTCTGTGATTCTCCAAGAGGCAGACCAAACACAGACATACCTGGCCACAGAACCTTTGTGGAGGGGGACCTCTTATTGTCTTCTAGGGTTCTATAGAGCAGTCCAAAGGAGTTAGAGGACCACATGTTGTATACACCAAAGCTACCCTTCAGTCTAGGTACTCTCCTAACAGACTTTTTTTTCTCTTTTTACTTATTTTGAAATAGCTCACGATATAGCCCAGGTTGGCCTCAAGCTCTAAAACCTCCCATGTGCTGGGATTGTGTGAGCCAGGCCTAGTCCAGACTCAGGTTCAGATCGTTCTAGTTTTGCACTCCAAAGTCTGACCCAGTTTGTTGATGACACATGAGGAAAACATGGAAGCTTGTGGGCAAGCTTTGTTCTTTTCTAAAAGAGACAGGGACTGGGATAGTGGCACAAATGCAGAACACTGGCTGGGCATGTGCAAGGCCTGGGGTTCGGTCCCTAGCATTACGAAAACAAGACAAACAAAAGATAGAAGAAAGGCAAGAATACCTTATCTGGACTCCCTCTGGCATTATGATGTCTAGTAGCTGGAGTTTAAACAGCTGGAGCGCCCCCCACAAGTCCTCTAAGAACCCCTAAGCCAGGGTCCCAGAAGACAGAAAAGGCCCATCTTGTGCTTGTAACCAAATAAAAACTATAGAGTAATCTCCTCTGACCCCTATAGCTCTTTGCCTGTAAGGGAAGACCAGAGCCTACTTGTTACTAGAGCTGCCAAGCATGTTCCTCACATTCAATGCATATGTACACAGGTGTGATTTGCTTTGTGCTACTTGATTCTCCACCTGCTACCTTGCCCTTCCACCTTTCCCTGACTAGGTAGGTGTCCCTGTTGAACTCCTGGTGCACCTGCTTATTTGATGATCAGTCTTTCCCACGGTCTCTGCCCTTTGTGGGCAAAGCCAGGGTACCCTGTTCACCTTGTTTTCCTGGTGCCTTGAACAGGATCTCATGCTAGTAAAGCACTTAATAAATATTTGCTGAGTGGATAAATACTGAACCATGAATGAAGGCTTTACCTCTTTACAATCCTTGCCCTGGGCTGCCCAGCAGAGTGGGATTGGTAAACACTGGTCATCCAGTCTCTGTTGGCAGTCAGAGTGCCATGGAATTGGGACATAGCCTTCAGGACATCTGGCTGATGTCCAGCTCTTCTGATGACCTGGACAGCTGAGAGCATTCCACTGGCAAAAGCTTATAGGTGACCTCCAACTGGGTGGGGATGAGGAGTGACCTAGGTGAACCTACAGATGAATGTCAAGGGGAAACCTGTATCCAGAGAGGCTAAACTCTGTGGAGGGACTTACCAGGCAGGCTCCCTGCGCCTTCTGCTGGCCTGGGGGGAGGGGGAGGCTGTTTAGCTCTCCCGGACAGCAACCATCAATAGGAATAACAGTTCTGCCCGGGATCTAGGGAATGTCACGATTTGACTGATGAAGCAGTGTGCTAGGGCATCCTGTGCAGTCAGTCAGATGGCTTCAGAGTTGGCCTGTGCCTGCCGAGCCCACAGCCAGCAGGCTTCTGGCAGCATACAGCCCCAGGGAAGGGGAGCAGCCCTGGGGCCTAACTGAAGCAGCAATTGATGTTTCCGCTCAGGGCTCTTACCAGAACAAGGCCACAAGATTGACAGTCTCCTCCCTTCCCAGACCCTCTTGTCCCCACTATGATGGGGAGAGCAAAGGCTGCACTTGAACAGAGTCCCTGGATTTCTGGGTTCTATGAATCAATGTGACAACAGGACTTGGAAGCAGAATTACTAACTCCCTTGCCCCCATTCTTTACCTGGCTGTCATTCTTTCTGCCATCACCACTGATTCCAGTTTCTTCCCAGGGGAAACCTGGGAAGTATTTTATTTTTACTTAGTTGGAAGACAGGGTCTCCCTTAGATTAGAACACAGTATGCAGTTATGGAAAGGTTCTGAGGGTGTGAATTAAAGGCATGAGCTACCTACCATGCCCAACTTGGGTGACCTTTCTAAAACACAAAATTCATGAGTTCATGGGACCTTTACACTGGCTTTGAAGCCACTGTTGTTTTTGCTCACTCAGCTTGGGAAGTTCCCTCCCTGCTCTGCAGAGCCACCCTACACACCCTTCAGCTCTCCGTCACTTTCTCAGGGGAGCCCTCCTGTCTAGGTTGATGGCCCTAGCAAAGGCCCAGGAGGCTGCTCACTATTGTGCTTGTTTGATGAGCTGAATAATGCATATTTCACATGGATGTAGGCAGTGTCTGCTTTACTTCCCACTACAGCTCCTGTACTAAATTAATCCAGGGCAATAAGCACCAGGCAAATATTTGTTGAATGAATGAATAGGTCATGAATGGATTACAATGCTGAAAAAGTAGGAAGAAGAGAAACTAAAAGTAAAAGAAAGTTTTAAAACAGAATTCTTTCATCTTTGGAAAAAACTTACTCACTATACTTAATTATCTTGTTTTGTCACAGCCTGGAGATAATCATGTCAAAAAATGGCTTCTAGGAAGCACTGACTAGCTCCACGCCCAAAGAGGCAACAGTCCACACATTAAAAGACGTAGTAGAAGAGACAAGGGGACAGATTTGACCCTCTGGACTTTTACCACTTACGAGGTGTCACTAACAGTCACCCCACACAAAGCTGGACTTAAGGCACATCATTAAAGATTCTGCTTTTATAGGCCACCAGTGCACAAGGCTAGGCCTCAGGGGGACCCCTGAAGGGCTGGAGAGATGGCTGCTCTTACAGAGGACCCAGGTTTGGGCCCTACATGCCAGCTCACCATTGCCTGTAATTCGAGTCCCAGGCAATTTTCTGGGTGCACACATACATGGAGGCAGAGCATTTGCCCATCAAGAAGGGCCTTTGCTTTCTCTCCGTACCTCCAGAGCTGGGATGCAGAACCCTGTGTCCTGCTAGACTCACCTCCTGCCCTTGTGCACTCGGCTCAGGTCCACTGAGTCCCTGCTGAACACATCAAACTCATCATTCTGGAAGACGTTGTGACGAGATGTCAGCAGGGGTGTAGGGTCCGGCTTCACCTGTCTGGAAAGCACAAGACAGAAATCAATTGAAAGAGCCCTGCTGGTTGACATCTACTTGTGTCCCAAACCCCACTGGGTTCTCCCCATCATATTGTCCACTCCATCCCAAAGCCATGCCTAGGACATAAGTTAAGCCCTTTAACGGGGAGCCTTCAATTAGGTTTTACTTAACCTGGCCCCTGTCAAGAACCCACAGCCACACCTCACCCTCATTCCCTGTGTGCCATGCATACCAGTGTTCTATGGCCCTATGAGGCAGAGTTATAGGTCGCTCAACCTCTTTTTCTGGGGGTGTGTGGGGGGGTGAAGAACAGTTGTATTTGCTTTTGGTAGAGGAATGTGATATACAACCTCACACAAGCTAAGCCCATGCTCTACCACTGAGCTCCACCCTCAGCTCCTAATCTACCTCCCTGTGTGTCTTAGCACTGTCGTGCTTAAAATGGAACACAAACAGGCTGAGGAATGTGTCTAAGGGCACAGAGCTAACTTCATTTATTTCTCTCGTAAACATCATTTGTTCGTGGAAGCAGCATCCACTGTGCCCTTGTACTTGCTGTCTCCTGAGGCTTTCAGGATGGCACTGGCCACAACCATGAGGTTCAGTGCAGAGAAAGTGAGTGGCTGCCCTAACTCAGAAACTGGGGCTGTACTAAGAGCGAGGCAGGTCTGGACCTGGGGTGCACTAGCTCGAGCTGCTGAAAGCACTGCTGTCCCCCCCCCCAGTCTAGGGGGGAGAAGGGGGCCCTGCCTTCAGGACCTCTTCCCATCTCTCTCTCACCGGTCTAGGCTGCGGTCCAGCTGGCGGAGTTCGGGGGCCAGCCGATCCTCCAGGATGTTGTTGATCACCTGCTCGGAATCATAGCTGTAGTGCTCCAGGCAGGCCAGGATGAAGCCCTCCCCAAGGTCTGGCAGCAGGTCTTTCACTTGGGAGATGAGGGAGTCTAGTTCCACACCACACACAGTCGGGGCCAGCGCAGCTGCTGCACCCATGCACTACAATGCAAGCCAGGGTGATGGAGGAGAGACAAGGCAGTCAACTGAAAGGGTGAGTCTAACAGCGCTGCATTTGTCATCAGGGGCCCTGGCCTTCTCCCTCCTAGCTGTAGACCTTTTGTCAAGTGACTTAAATTTGAGCCCCTAATTTTTCATTTGGGAACTGGGGAGCTCTATGACTTCCTAGGTGAGTTATGCCCTCCCTCTGTGATTTGGGGCACTGTATGTGAACTGTTCCCACCTTATGAAATAGACAAGATATCATTGATCTCATGGATTATTTCAAATGGTTCAATGAAGAAGAGCACCTGGTATGCAGGAGGCTTTCCACAGATAGTCATGTGTTAATGGTCAAGGTCCTTGCCCAGCTCTACCAAGGGGACTGATTGCCTTTAAAGGGCAAGAACAACTACCAGTGGGACCATGTGGACATGTCCCTTAAGTAACGTTCTTTTCAGTAGGAGATTTCATTTCACATACTGCCCAATGTGGCTTCATTTTATAATGCGTTTTAAGGAGATGGGCTGGAGATATAGCTCAGTGGTAGAATGCTTGCATAGCACCAGCAAGGACCTGGTTCGATTCCAACACTAGAACATCATGATGATCACAAGGATGAGAAGCTGCCTAATAGGGAAGAACGGATCAGGGTCTAACAGGAAGAATAGCAGCATTTGCCACTGGGTATTGAGGACCAGCTAGAATCAAGTGTACCACATAGCCCAGGAACCCCACTAACCTCATGGAAGCAGGGACTGCACTTATCTCTATGTACAGAGGAGCAACCACACTCAACACAAGAGATATGCCGCACACAGCAGACCAGACTAGCACGGAGCAGCTAGCCCTGAGATGGTGTGGTCTCCATGCTTGTACCACACAGGGACAAGTCCTGGGCTCCATGGCCCTTCCACACAGACTCAGCTGACCTGGGAAAAGCAGGGACAGGAAGCACTAGGTCCAGGGCACCGAGCTTCGCTGCCACCAGAGGAGCTCCACCTTACTCGGTGTGGGAGGGGCTGGGGGCCGGGGACTGGGGAAGGATTCCACAAGCAAAAGCTTCACCTCCTCATTTCACAGAGACAAAAGAGCTGGGCATGGTAGTGCACGCCTGCAAACCCAGCAGTTGGAGGATTGCTGTGAGCTCAAAGCTAGCCTGGACCATTGCATAAGATATCTTGTTTGAAAATGAGAGAGAAAGAGAGACTTATCTCTCAAGAGGTAGCCAAGAAGGCTAAGGAATCAGGGGTCAGGGGCAGGAACTCCCAGATACACACCTCCTCATCCTCCTCTGAGTTCTCCAGCTGCGAAGGCATCTCAGTGACTGGCTTCACTGTCATTGTGACACCATTATTAGGATCCTTGGCCCTTGATGGGTCTTTAATGTCCTTGGTTTTCTGTCTGTCCACCCCTTCCCATGCACTTTCCACAGCCTGCAGGATGTAGGCAGTCCGGGTCTCATCCCTATGAAGCAGTGTTAAGGGCTCGCTTACTCAGGACCCACCTCCCCAGATCTGGGTAGTTTGACTTCTCACTCCCTCCCTGTCCAGCATCTGACCATGTGCTTTTTCCCAAGGACTTGCTGGCCTGCCCAGTGCGTGTCACATGGAACAGCATGCCAGACACTAGCCCAGCAGAGCAGCTCTGAGCAGACAGGGCTGTGGATTTCATTCAGTGTCCCAGAATTTTAGCTTACTCTTTTGCTCTGATATTCAGGAGGGCCAACAGTACTTTCACTGGACTTTCTGCCCACAAGGCTGAGGGTATTCTGAAAAGGCTGAGGGCCTACTTGAGGGCCTTGAGGCAGGACTGAACCTGATGCAGCAACAGAAATGGGCCAAAGGCCAGCTCCTCCCTAGCCCACCTTTCTCTCTGACACCCTGGGCATTGGGCGAGAAATCTCAGTTGCGCCACACCCTTGTTCTACTCTTATTCCAAACCCTCATGATCCATGCAGCGAGGCCTGTAGTAGCCATCTCTGCCTCTAGTGGTCCCAGGCCAGTCATTCTCCTCCCAAAGCCAATTGGAGCCTTTCCAGAGTATCAACCGCCCAGGCCACTCTGCTTCCCCGACTCCCATGCTTGCCAGCCGTAGCATATAGCCCAACTTCTCCACAAGCCTCACACAAGGGCCCTGAATTGTCATCAACTCCAGCTCACTTGCCACATCCCCAGCAGACATTCCTGCCCACTGCTATGTACACAGTGACACATGATCAGAAGACCCCTTTGTCAGCTCTCTTTGCCCTCCCAACCCCTGCAAACACTCTTGTCCTCAACCTAAGTTTGGACCAGGCCATCTCTTCTTACTTGTTCTATTTTTGGCTTGGGTATTTTCCTCTGGTGCCCACCCTGAGTACTGCTATGTGAGGTGTAGTCCTACTTCTCATTTGACACATCTTAACTGTCCGTTCACTTGTCCCCATCTCCTACAATGGGGTTCAGGTTTCTAGAGTACAACTTGAATACACAGACCCAGACCCTCAGAGCACACCTAAAGAGAGCAGCCTTTCCCTTGCCCCAGGCTTCAGAGCAGTTGTCACTTCTAGAAAGAGAGAACTGGGACCTTGTTAGACTTCTTGATGTGAGTGCTCTGGGGGGGGGGTCATCTTCTGCCCCTCTGGGCCCCAGCATGCCATGTCTGATCTAGTCAGGCCTTGGCCCGGTGAGCTGTAGTAGGATACAAGGCTGATGAAGCCTGCTGTAGCAAGCTGATGTCTTCAGCAATAGGGAAGAATGAGTCATAGTCCCGGAGGAATCTGCAGGGTAGAGTACAGAAAAGAAAGTCAGGGTTGGGACCATAGCAACATGTACTCTGGCAGGTCACTCCGTGTCTGCTACCCAACCACAGGTTCCAGAACCTCCATTCCATGCAAGTATATATTAGTGGCTCCACTGTGCAAGGCATCATGGGACTGGAGAGAGGGGCTCAGCCCCACGCACCTCTTTTCCTGCAGCAAGGAGCTGAAGATCTGAAGGAATTCTTCAATGAAGCCTTGAATGTTGTCACAGCTAGGATAGGACATGAGGGAAGATGAGCTCATGCAGTGTAGGATGACTTGCAAATCCCTAGATGCTCACCCTACCCCTCTGTAGTCTCTGGGCAGATGGAGAAAGGCATTTTTCTGGTTTCCCGATATGTTTGGCAGAGTAAGAAAGGAGAGGTGATGACAAGCGCCTGCTATGTGTAGAGGCTCCTTGAAGCTTACCTGCTCTCTAGAATGGGAAGGAGGCAGATCTGGTTCAGGATGATGTGAAACACCTCCATTAGCTTTTTCTTGGAATGGGAGAGCCTCTGCCACATGTCACCTAGCAGCCTTTGATGGCCAGAGAGAAATAAACGTATGAGATGAAAGGAACCATGGAACTTCTTCCTAGCAGTTGCAGATGCTTGCCCACAGCTACAGTAGTCTTAAAGGTCACTGATAGGAGCAGCTGACAAAAGGGGGGTAGCCAGCTGGCTCCAGACCACTTCAGTGAAACAGAGGGCCAGGAACAGCAAGGTCAGTCACCAAGAGCTTGAAGCAATTGCTGAGCTTACATACAGGGACCAGCTATGATCTGCCAGGATTTGGGAGACACTGAAATAATGGATTTAGTGGTCAGAAGGACTCTCAGACAATTCTCACAAGGTGGCCTGTAGCAAGCCAATGTACAATTCATGTTTAAATCTCTATTTGTGCAGTATATGATGACTAACGCAGACTAACCAGTCAATGTGTAGAGAATGATAGACCACAGAATGCTAAGCCCCAAATGGTACATCTGCATCAAACCCCTTCTCCCAAGGTCAGAGGTCATTGCAGAAGAAGGGGTGGAAAGATCGTAAGAGACAGAGGCTGTGGGTGGCTACAAGAGTGTTTTCTGACCCAGCAGGATAGCTGCACATAGAAACTCACAGCAGCTGTGACAAAATGAGCAAGGCATGTGCAAACTCAAACCAGCCCAAATCCCAGTATGGAGGGGGAGGGTGGGCACAAAGTCCTACCCCTAGCTGAGGAGCTTTGGCAACTGACAGCTACTGGGAGAGAAATGAGTCAGTTTTCGTTAAAGGTGTGGCCCCAGTAGGTTGAGCACACCACAGAGGATGGCCACATATCCAAGAGTATATGGGCAGCCCAGATTTGACTTGGTATGTTAAGAGAAAGAAAGAAGAGAAGAAAGGAAGGAAAGGAAGGAAGAAAGTTGGGTAGGTAGGGAAGGAGAAGTGAATCCGGGAAGAGTTGGGGGGGGGGGCAAATATGATCAAAATATAGTATATGAAATTCTCAAAGACCTAAATAAATATTTTTTAAAGCAAGTAAACAATAAATCTCTACTTGCCAAAGTATTTCTCTTTAGATCCTTACAAAGCATGTTTTTTTTTTTTTTTTTTAAACAATCTTCTTTGGGTGGCAGTGGTACTTGTCTTTAGTCCCAGCACTCTGGAGGCAGAGGCTGGAGCTCTTTCAGTTTGAGGCCAGCCTGGTCTACAAAGTGAGTTCCAGTACATCCAGGGATACACAGAGAAACCCTGTGTTGAACCCTCCTCCCCCCCCCCCCCCCGACCCTGCACACACAAACAAAACAATCTTTAAGGTCTGAGGTGTGCTCAGCATGCACAAGGCCAAGGGTTCAATCCTCAGCACACAAAACAGAAAGTAAAATTCAAACCTCAGAGCGCTGGAAGAGCGCCAAGCCCGGAACTAAGAGCCCAAGCTACCACAGTCCTTGGTCCCCCCTTTGCCCTAGCAGTGAGGATGCTACAGCCTGTGCTCAGGCTTCCCTTCCCACACAACATTCTTAGTTTTGTCCCTGCCTCACTTGCTGTCTTCAAGTCTCCTCTTCTTAATTGCAGACTCCATTTCAGGAACTGCCATCTCATAAAAGGAAGCTAGTCTGCAGAAGTAAACATGGGGAAAAGGCCACATTATTCATAAACACCACATTTTGGTGGAAAACAAAGCCATCCCAAAGGAGCAAAAAGGTTCATTTATTTATCCCATAAATCCATAACGTGCATGTTCTTGTGTGTGTGGAAGCCACACGCTAACTTCAGTGTGAGCTTCAGGAAAGCAGCCCTGATGCTCACCAATCAGGATAGGCTGACTGTCAGAGGGCCCTAGCACTGGTACTGCACTGAGTACCACCACACCCTACATTTGTACATGGGTCTTGAAGGGATCAAACTTGGGCCCTCACTCTGCCTTACTAAATCAACCCCCTGCCCCCATCCCATCCTATACCTACTTTCTGGGGCTACCCCGGGGCTTTCCTGAGCCCACAACAGAATGATGTACTGTGCTGCTCCATCATGAAGTGACCACGGCTGTGTCTATTCCACCAAAGTGACCGGAGGGCTACACAGTACTCCCTGGGTTTATGGGACAATCTTCCTTCTTACTCAAAATTTGCCAGTTCTAGGAGCCCAAAATGCCTAGTTACCAACAATCTTTCTCACTCTGGTTCTAAGATATAAAGAAGTATTTTTTTGTTTTGTTTTGTTTTGTTCTTTTGCATGATCTGGAATCTCTACAAATGGTTTACATGTGACAATATCAACACAATGTATTTATTCAGAAAAGGCTAAATGTGTTCAGGACTTACATGTACGTATCATACACTCTACATTTGTTTTATGACAGTTAGCTTAACTATGAGTCTTTTTGTTGTTGTTGTTGTTTTGCTTTTTGAAGCAGGATTTCTTTGTGAAGCCCTGGCTGTCCTAGAACTCACTCTGTAGTTCAGGCTGACCTTGAACTCACAGAGTTCCCCCTGCTTCTGTCTCCTAAGTACTAGGATTAAAGGCCCAACAATTATAACTCTTAAAAAAAAAGATTTTAATTATGTGTGTGTGTCTATTTGGCAGTTGGTATGTAGACATGAGTACAGATGCCAACAGAAGCCAGAAAAAGGTGCTGTCCCTTGCAGTTGGAGTTACAGATGGTTGTGAGGTGCCTGATATGAGTGCTGGGAATTGAACTTAGTACCTTAACCACTGGGCCATCTTTTCAGCCTATTTTCTACAACTCTTAACAAAAGTTTATAAACTAGATGTGGTCCATGCTTGTAATTCTAGCATTTGGGAAGCTGAGGCAGGATGATAGCAAGTTGGAAGACCATACAGCAAGACCCTGTCTCAATAGCAAAAGAATTAAAAATTATACACACACACAGGGCTGGAAGGGTAGCTTAGTGATTAAGAACAATTGTCGCTCTTCCAGAGGACTAGAGTTTGGGTCCTAACACCCACACGGTGACTCACAACCATCTGTAACTCCAGTTCCAGGATAGCTGATGCCCTCTTCTGAATTCCACAGACATTAGGCATGCACATGCTACACATACATGCATGCAGGCAAACCATTCACACAAATAAAATAAACCTAAATTTTTCTAAAAAAAATCATACACACATACATTATGAGTTTCAGCACAGTTACACATGACTATACTTGCAGCTAATTGGGAGGCGGAGGCAGGAAGATGGCTTGAGCCCAGGAGTTTTAGACTAGTAATAGGTGAGCAACACAGGGAAGCAGCTGTCCTTTTCCTCCTGTATCTCTTCCCCTCCCTGTCCTCAAACCCTGTACCATTCCAGGCCTACCTCCCCACTGTGTACTTCCCGGCTATACTTAACCACAGGATTCTTCCTTCCAGGGGCCAAATTCACTGCACACTGAACATGCTGCCCTGATAACTGACTGAGAGTTGCTGCTTTTCTATGATGGAATTCTTCCTCCAAACATCTTGTGTCCCAGAGTCAGAGATGCACTTAAGTGCCCAGTGTAGCGCTCACAGTGCTTGCAGGTGCTCTGTGAGCATGTCACATCCGTTGGCTGGCTTTCTGCAACGTCTGCCTCACTGCAGCACTGCATGTGGCAGAAACAGCTAAGCCAAAAGAGACAGGTCCTACTAGACACAGCATCAGCAGAGGCCAGAGAGGGCAGTTTGGCCCAAGCTGATTCAACACTTGCCAGGCTGTGTTGTTGGTGGGTAAACCAGAACAACCCCCATGGAAGGTGATTTGGCAAGATATGGGAGAATTAAAGATGCACATACCATCTGTCCCTGAATTTCTACTTCTAGGAATTAATCCTCAAATATGCTTGCAAAGGTACAAAAGGATGTATGTACAATGTTATTTATTTTGAAATAGCAAATAACTGGGAAAAAAGCCACAGAAACAATAACCTGTCTCTGGTGTCCAGTATGCCAGATGCACAGTACTACCCTGTCACTCTGAAGGCACTGAGCCATCTCCCCCAGCCCCAGCTCAGTGGTAGGGTTCCTACTGAGCATTTATAAAGCCTTGGTTCCAGGCCCATCCCTGCAAAAGCAAAGGGAGGGGAAGGTATACTGTGCATATTTTCCTATACTGCATATCTCTGGAAAATCCCACCCAAACTTTGGCAGTGTTGACACGTGAGGAAAAGAACCATAAGAGGGGGTGGGAGACAGTTCATCATATATTTCACGTTTTTAAGTTATTTGCGTGTGTGAGACATATGTGAGGGTGCCCAGAGGCCAGAAGACCTGGCGCTGGTGGTATAAGCAGTCGTGAGCCTCAGACAGGGGTGCTGGGAAATGAGCTCTCCTTTTTGGAAGAAAGAACCTGCTCTTAATTGCTGAGCCATCTCTCCAGTCGCTATTTTACACTTTTTGAGCTCTGTCAAAGTGAAAGTACTACTGACTCATGACTCAAGAGCATAAGCTGCGCACTGGATGAGTGGATGGGAGAGGGAAATGGAGGAAGCTGTTCTGAGCCGGCCACGTGAAAGAGCTCTCTGGGTAAGTGTGGCCCTTAACCCAGAGCTGTGGGAACTGGGCTTGCGTGTGTGTGGGTGTCGCTAGCAGCACAGGCTGTAACAGGCTGGGCCAGCTGCAGGCTAAGCATGAGTCAAAGGCAGAGTCACTTCCAAAGCGCAACCCTTTCTTCCCCATACTCCAAGATGGGTGGGGACTCGTGCTTCCGCGTCTCTTGCAGGAAAAATCTGCTCTTCCAAAGCTTCCTCCCTCGGAGGCCATCTGTGCTTACTGGGAGAGATGCTTGGACAAAATGAGAAAAATGCAAACAGGCAGAGTATAAAAATGCCAAGAGCAGTGTAATTCCTAAGAATGATTTCACAGTTTCTGGCTTTCTATCTTTTCTACATTTCCACATGCTCTTTTATCATACTGAAATACCTTTCCTCCCTAAAGTGGACAACTACAGCCCTATCCCAAGCCCTTTCTTCTCTGGAGAATATTAGTTGGCACTTTATTTTAATGATCCCTGTGAAGCTGATCAACTCTAAGGTCTGACTCTCATAAACAGAGGAGACCAAAGAGGAGTCAGAGGAACAGCTGCCATCTCTGGCACATGTCAGAGCTAGATAAATGTTTTGCTGAATGGGTGAGTAAATGCCAAAATGGACAGATAGATAGGTGGGAAAATGGGATTGGGCAGCTCCCAGAAGCTGCTGCAAATGGTTGGGAGAGATGCCTGGCAAGAACAACAGTTACAGGCCACTGGGAATGGGCCAGTACTTCTTGTTGCCAGTCAATATGCAGGCTGCTGGTTCTTTCACACCAGCCTGGGAATGTCCAAGCCCATGCTCCCCACCTTCTCACTGCACAGGAAGATCTCATGATGCTAACTAGGCAGTCTCCCTCTCTGCCATAAATTCCTCTGAGTTCTTCTCCATCTTAGCACAAGCTTTGCAAGAACTCTCCAATGGTTCCCACTAACTACAGAATAAAGACCCAACTCCTGCCAGGATTTCAACATTCTTCACACTCTGGCACCAAACAGTGAATCCCTCATTTTTTTTACTGCCAACTCCTTTTCCTGTTGTCCTGGTTTTTTTGTTGATGTTGTTTTGTTTTGTTCTATTATTGTTTTTGAGGCAGGGTCTCTTTATGTAGCCCTGGAGGTCCTGGAACTCGCTATGTAGACCAGACTGGTCATGATTTCACAGAGACCTACCTGCTTCTGCCTCGCGAGTTCTGGGATAAAAGGCGTGCACCACTACACCTGGTGGTTAGTCTGTGCTTTTTGTACATTTCACATCCGCTTCAACACCCTTGTGTCAGCATAACCTTTCTGTCTAGGACATTCTGATCCCTTTTCTTCTCCTTAGATTCTGAGACCACATCTAGTTATGCTGACTAGACTAGCCTCAAATCCTGGAGCTTGAGTGGCCCTCCTGCCTTAGCCTCTTGAGGAGCTGAGATGAAGGAACAGCCAGTGTGTCCAGCTTTTTGCTCAGTATTCAAGGCTGTTTTTAGGAGTCTTCCTCCTGTACACGCTTGCACAGAGGAACACCTTTGATGCTTCCTCATTATGTTAGTTCTTACTGGCTGTCACTCTGTGCTCCATGATAAGACACACAAAATAAGACAGACTTAAAACTGCCATCTTCTTTCTGTGGGTTTTCCCCCTTCTTGTTTTATTCTTAACCAAAATTGGGAGAGCTCCTCTCAGCATGAGTCTTATCTGTGTTTCTCATTGTGTGTCTCCACAATGTGGAAGATGGACTGGTATATTCTTTTCCTTTTAATGATTTATTTATTTTAATTTTATGTGCATTGGTGTTTTGCCTGAATGTATATCTGTGTGAGGGTGTCAGATCCTCTGGAGGTGGAGTTATAGACAGCCATGAACTGCCATGTGGGTGCTGGGAATTGAACCCAAGTCCTCTGTTACAGTAGCCAGTGCTCTTAATCACAGGGCAATCTCTCCTGCCCCTGGACTGGTATATTCTAAGGAACAAGTCAATAGGTATGTGTGTGATGCACGGACCAGACCCCTACTTTAACAGGCAGAAGTCCCACTATACCTGTAACAAAATTCATGTTTCTGGAAGGTTTGGCAGGCCAAAGGGAAGATATCCAGAAAGGCCCAGAGTGTGGTACAGGTATCACATAGGTAGAGGACAATGTCCTTTAATTCCTGTTGTCAAGAAAAGACACAGTATTATTTTCAAGCCCCACAGACAGCTCTGCAGAGGGCCGGAATCGTAACTGACAAAGCTAGAGTCCACAGCAGGCAGGAAGTTGCTCGAGAGGAATAGGGAAGTGGAGGCTCCAGAGACAGCCTGAATGGTCGGTCCATCTCTAGGAGAGCAACCTGAGCTATGTAATCATCTTGTCTCAGAGTTTGCCGTTGCAGTTTAGTGGCCTACACTCAATGATGGCTAAGGTCACCTGTAATTCTGACATAGTCTCTCTTCTACGCTGCAGGAAAATGAACCCTGAGTCTGAACACTGCCGAGAGAGATCACCCAGCCTGGTGAGACAGGAGCAGCAAGGCCACCCTTTGCTCACATTTTGAAGAGGGTACCTAGAACACAGGGTGTCTGCTCATCTGCTCTGCTGATTCTCGTGCCAACTTGAAGGAGCAGCCTGGGTGGCTCTTCATGTTACAGACAAGGAAACTGAGGCTCAGAATGCTAAGAGGCTCAGGGTGCTCCCACAGCTCCTGGCCTGTACTCCTCTGAAACACTTGCTCAATGGATATTTCCCCACCAGGTGGCAAATGTCAAGAAGGAAGCTCACAGCTGCCACATCTCAGCTGTTGGTAGAGCTTAGCACAGCACCCAGGCTCCCGAGAGTTTACTTTTGGGATGTCATCCTCATTAATGTTCTAAGTGCCATGAGATGGACACCATGTCTGCACCTGATTGCTGCTTTATCCCCCAAGCTCAGCAGAGGAGGACCTGACGCAGTCCCTCAGTATAGTGCTCAAGCAATCAATGACTGGTTAAGGAATGGGCCTGCTGAGCAAAACTAAGTAAGGAGTAGACCCAGTTCTCAAATCCTAGTGTCTTGTCCTTTCTGCTACTCCACAAAGTTTCCCGGGGAGGAAAAAACCTGCAGAAAAGCCTAACCCACAGGGCAGGTAGAAACACGGGTTGCGTCCAAGGAAGAGGTCAAAGGCAGGGGAAGAAACAACTGTGTTCTGAGGCTTTGGCAATTTTCTCAGTCCCAGGGTAGCCAGGCTTAAGGATCCCAGTCAGAAGGAGCTGGGCTGAGAGGCAACCTTACCAAGAGAGGCATGTCACTGGGTGTCAACCGACCCTTCTCCCCAAGTTTCTGGGGTGTGGTGCTGGTCCCATCCCCTTGCAAGCCACAGTGCTGGAGGATATTGCTGAAGACCTTAAAAAAAAAAAAAAAAAAGGGGGGCTCTTTTTCACATCCTGAACAAGCACCTACAATCCCCACCCGGCAACTAGGGACAGGAGACCCAAGAACTGACTTAGAACCTAGGGACAGACCATCCAATGTGGGATGGTGAATAGGATTAAATGCAACCCTTGTAGGGCCAAGTACATGGAAGGCCCTGGGTTCCAGGCCAGGTGTGGTATTACACACTCTTAATTCCAGCTCTCAGAAGACAGAGGTAGGTGGATCTCTGTGAGTTCAAAGCCAGCCTGTTCTACATTTCCAGTTCTAGGCCAGCCAAGGCTATATTGTGAGTCCCTGCCTCAAAAAACAAGACCCTGAGTTCCATCTTTAGTACTCCCACACACAGTATGCATATAATATAAAGCCCCAAGAATTCTGCACCTATGACTTGACCTGATAGACTCAACAATATAGATAATGTCTGAGAAATACCTTCAGCAACACTTAAGAAATGTTTAGGCTCCTTTGAAGACGATTACTTATAGGATGATTTTATACATGTATGTATGTGTATCTTTTGTTTGTTGTTTTGAATAGGGTCTCATGTAGGCCAGGATGCCTTTGATCTCACTATGCAGATAAGAATGAAGAACTTGAACCCCTAATCCTCCTGTTTCTACTTCCCAAGTGCAGGGGTTACAGATGTGTGCCATCATACTCTGTGAGTATCAGAGCTTTATTAAAACAAAAGACAAATTATCAGAGAGTTGAAAACTTAACCAGTCATAAAATCAAGCAAGACTGAATTGGTAGTGTCGTCTTCCTCTCTTCCTTTCTTCCTTCCTTCCTTCCTTCCTTCCTTCCTTCCTTCCTTCCTTCCTTCCTCTCTTTTCTTTCTTCCTTTCTGTGTGTGGGGAGCATGTGTGTGAAGTCAGGGGACAACTGTGGGAACCCATTATTTCTTTAAACTATGTAGGTTCTAGGGATCAAAATCAGGTCCTCAGGCTTGGTGGCAGGCGCCTTTATCTACTAAGCCATCTTGCTAGGGCATATTATCCTTATTTTCATAATTAAAATATTAGTTTTGTTTTTTGAGTCTGGCCTGGATTTTACTACATAGATCAGGTTGGTCTCTACTCACAGGTCCCTTCCGCCTGTGCCTCCTGAGTGCTGCCACATTATCATTAAACAGTCTAGCATGTAACTATTCCAAAAGTTACTTTAAACAGATGTATGTGTAGGGATCTCTACAGTGGGTTATGGAGGAATAATAATATTATTTAATGATTGTTTTTGTATTTTTTTTTTTTTTGAGACAGGGACAGAGTCTTACTATATAGCTTAGACAAGCCTTGAACTAAAGACTATTTGCTCCTCAAGAGCTGGGATTACAGATATGAGTCACCATGCCCAACTCTTGTCAGATTTTTAACATTCTTCATAGTTTCTTTTTTTAAAGTAATTTATTTTTATTTTATGTACATTGGTGTTTTGCCTGCATGTATGTATAAATTTTGAACAATTATAAACTGCCATATGGGTGCTGGGAATTGAACCCAGGTCCTCTAGAAGAAAGCCAGTGTTCCTAACTGCTGAGCCATCTCTCCAGCCCCCATTCCTCATATTTTCTGTAATACACATTATTCTTTCATGAAATAGTTTTTATAAACCTTCACAGTTCCTATTTGAAAAATACAGGTCTCTGAAAGAAGTAACTTTTAGAGAAATGACACAAAATGCAAACCAAATCCTGGTTGTGAGTGCCAGATAATCTTTAGATTTCATTCTCATTCAAGAAGGCAAGTAGGAGAAAGAGAAAATCTGGGAGACAAGTTCTCTTTTCCAGCCTCCTCTTCCCTCTCCTTCTCCCCTCTCTCCTGCTGAGGGTGGAATCCGGGGCTTTGCACTTGTTAGGTAAGTGCACTATTACTGTGCCACACTTCAGGGTGTGTCTGGAGAAGGAGTGGAAAGCAAACATTTCTCTAGGTTTTTCAAGAAAAGGCCAAAGACTTGTCTTCCCCTACCCAGCTTACTCTACCCTGGGCAGAGATAAGAGATGGTACCTGAAGTATGGTGGGAATGGTTTCATCCAGGTCATTATAATAACTTGGCTGCTGGGTAAATATGTTTCCTAAAAAGAGAAGAGAAAGGAAGAAGCAGGGAGAGGTCAGGATGGATGGAGAGGACACATTAAAATTGATTATCAGCATGCTCTGTGACCATTCTCCCTTTCTGTAAGCCTGTCTGTAGGGAGGATCTAGGATGAATCTTGTCTCAGGCCCAGCTGGCACTGAGCTTTGTCCTCATTGAGAACCCTCTCAGGGCTGGGAAAGGAAGTTATTCAGTACAATTTAACTTTTAAAGTACCTCTGAATTACATAAAACAAAGAGCAGCCCTGGTCAAACCAGCTAGTCCTGATGTCCCTAGGGAGTGACCAAACTTAGGCACCATGCCTCCTATGACAGCATTGTGGAACTGGGAGTTGCATTATCCAGGAAAATTGGGTACTGTAATTCCTTCATCCAACAAACCTACAATAATTCAGGAGTCTTGCCAAGTTACACCTCAAAAAGTGTGAGGAGATGCCAGGGAGAGATGTCTGGAAGTCTTTGATTTGAACGTGCTACCATCTCAATTCACTCTCCTGCAAACAGAAGGCAGGAGCAACACATGGAGATGGACTTGGCACACATCTGTGGTCGTTCTGTTCAGATGGAGCTCATCTCCGATGTTTAGTACTCTCTACCTGCCGCTGCATGGTGTGCTTAGAGCATACGGTAGCTGGAACAGAACCCAGTGTTTCTCTGTCCAAATGTCAAGAAGACCAGGGAAAGAATCATAGCTAGGGACATGATGAGAAAGGCCAATGCCCTCAGATGCCTCATCTCTCACTATCACTTCTGCCTCTCAGGCTGGTAGTCAGTTTGAGGAACCCCTGCTTCTGTGGAGGTCTAGTTGTTTTTGTTTTTTGGGGTTTTGTTGTTGTTGGCAGTGGTGGTTTTGTTTTTTGTTTGTTTGTTTGTTTTTTGAGACAGAGTTTCTCTGTAACATCACTAGCTGTCCTGGAACTCCCTTTGTAGACCAGATCAAACTCAAAGATCTACCTGCCTCTGCCTCCTGAGTGCTGTAATGAAAGATGTGCACCACCACCGCTCAGCAAAGGTCTGGTTTTTATGTAAGTGCCAGACAATGTTTAGATTTTAGTACTGTCTGAGAAAGATAAAGGGAATTCAAAGGCTTTGGCCAAGAGTAGGACAAAGAAACTATGTGGGAGAAAGAAGTTTTCCTCTCTGTCTCTGTTTCTCTCTTGCACTGTGTACAAAGGCCAGAGCATACAATCTGAACTACTCTGTAGCCCTAGTCCAATTCCTGGGAATCTAAACATGAAGGAAATCAAATGCCAGGTAAGGCTAATGAGTAAGGAAGTAGCTGGGCTTTTCATCAGCACAGTTCAGGATGGCATTTACTCCTTGATTCCAAAAAGCTATTTTCTAGCTCTGCCTCCTTAGCTCAGGGCTCCTACCTCCCATAGATGCTCACCCCATAATCTATACAGGTGAGCCTGGACCATCTACACCTTCCTTATCCATATTGCAAAGAATATCTGAGCCAGCCCCTCCACCAACTTTGTTCCTTGTTCCTCTTGTCCTGATCCTCCAGGGCAAGTCTAAACTCCTGATACAAAAAGCCCTGAGAAATCTAGCCCCTGCTGGCATGCTAGATCACCCTGCTTCCAATCCCTGCAATGGAGCCCTTCTTTGAATCATCCTTAACCTCAGACAACAAGCCCTGTCTCTTCCTTCTGCTTGAAATGACCTCCCAGAGTTCCACCTTAAGACACCTTCTCTGGTAGTACTCTGACATAGGCACTTCCAGAGCAAAGGCATATCCCTCTTACCCCCCTGACTACTCAGAACATTCCCTCATTGCTTTTCAGAAAAATAGAAGTTTTTTTTGTTTTTTTTTTCCCTCTGACACACATCAAGATAACTCAAGCTTACTTCCTTCTTCCTTCCTTCCTTCCTTCCTTCCTCCTTCCTTCCTTTTTTGAGACAAGGTTTCTCTGTGTAACAGTCCTGGCTGCCCTGGAACTCTCTTTGTAGATCAGGCTGGCCTCAAACTCAGAGATCCACCTGCCCCAGCCTTCTGAGTTCTAGGATTAAAGGTGTGCACCACCAAGCCTAGAAAGATAGCTTAAATTTCACAATCTATTCTTGAGGTCTTCAGAGTCTCTTTTCTTCTTTATCTGATTCTAATGACAACAAAGATCTCCTTTGCTTTTGATTAAAAAACAAAATAACGAAAAAAAAAAAAAAAAAACCCTAACAAAACACAAAAAACAAAAAGCCCCCCAAAACCAAAACCAAAAATAGCCCAGAGAGATGGCTCCACAGTTAAGAGCACTTGCCGCTCTTGCAGAGGATTCAGGTTCAGTTCCCAAGATCCAAATGGTGGCTCACAACTATCTGTAACTCCAGTCCCAGCAGACCAGACACCCTCTTCTGGCCTCCATGGGTGTCAGGCACACACAGAGTGCACGTACGTACGTGTGTGTGTGTGTGTGTGTGTGTGTGTGTGTGTGTGTGTGTAGACAAAAACATCTATACATTTAAAATAAAAATAAATATGTACCTTGGGGCTGGAGAGGTGGTTCACTGGTTAAGAGCACTGGTTGCTCTTCCAGAGGACCTGGGTTAGATTCTCAGGACCCATATGGTATAACTCCAGTGCAAGAGGATCTTATGCCCCTTTCTGGCCTTTGCAGACACTGCATGCATATGAACACACAAAAATGCAGGCAAAGCATCCATACACAGAAAATAAATAGTTAAATAAATAAACCTGTCTTAAGAAATACTACAAAGGTAAGGAACAAGTGGTGGCCTCTGAACTGCCTCTTCTCCTCAGACAAGCCCGGGGCGAGCAGGAGACACTGCCACAAAGATCACTAAACCTACGAAGGAGTGACGACCTCATTTTCTCCTGATGTGCTCAAGAAAGACTGACTGATGAGCCCTGCTTTGAAAAGCTGATAGCCGATACCCAATGCCAACCTTGTCAGTTTATTAAGAAGGCTAGAGTAAGGACTGTGCTTGTGCCCACAGGGCAGCTCACCCTCTCTTGGCTTTTCTTCCTCATCAGTCTTCTTACAAGTAATGCTTTGCCCAAGAGACTTTGTATATCAAAGTGGAGGCTGCTCTTGGGCCTTCTACTTAAGGATTAAAAAGAGCGCTGCTCTGAGGTGAGTTGGGAGGGTGCTTCTGTAGGCTCCTTCTCTACTCGCCACACCTGCCAACACACACACACACACACGCACACGCACACGCACACGCACACACACACACACACGCACACGCGCAAGCTCCCGATGCCTGGTCTGCATCTTTTTTTGAATCAACTACCTTCTAGGAGCCAAAAATGAGGTTCTCCGTAATAAGTCAGTTTAGAATCCTCAACCTGGTGGTTTAAAAAAAAGTATGTGGAGCCAGGCACAGTGGTGTACACCTAACACCCCAGCATTTGGGAAGCAGAGGCAGGAGGAGCATGTCTTCAAGGCTACCCTGGGCTATGTAGCAACTTTTAGGCTGATCTGGGCTACATAGTAAGAAATAACCTCAATAAATAAATATAAATTAAAAAAAGCCAGGCATGGTTGCCTACAGTTATAATCTTAGCACTATGAAGCCTGGGCTTCATATCATTAGGAAAAACAAAATAAATCAAACAAAAAACCCTTGTGGTGGTGGCACTCAACTTTAATCCCAGCACTTGGGAGGCAGAAGCAGGTAGATCTCAGAGTTCAAGGTCCAGCCTGGTGTACAGAGTAAGATCCACAATAGCCAGGGCTACACAGAGAAACCCTGTCTCTAAAAACCAATATAGATAGATAAATTAAAAATAAAAGTAAATAAAGGCACGGTATTATGACTAGTTTTATGTCAACTAGACACAAGGCTAGAGTAGTTTGCAAAGAGAGAACCTCAATTCAGAGAATGCCACCACCAGACTGGACTGTAGCCAAGCTTGAGGGACATTTTCTTAATTGATGACCGATGTAGGAGGGTTCAGACAACTGCAGGTGGTAATGTGTGTAGGCAGCTGGTCCTGGATGGTATAGGAAGGCAGGCTGAGCAAGACATGGAGAGCAATTCCTCCATGGCCTCTGCTTCCATTTCTGCCCTAAGTTCCTGCCACGCCTCTTCAATGATGCACTGTGGTATGGAACTGTAAGCTGAATAAACCCTTACCTCTTCAAGCTTCCTTTGGCTATGGTGTTTATCACAGCAATAGAAATCTAAGTCAGCAAGATGGCTCCTTTTACCATGCTTAATCACCTTAGTTTAAGTTTGATCTCCAGGATCCACTTAGGGGATGGATAGACCTACTCCCACACAAAGTGAAATTCAAACAAAAAAGAAACACTCTCAAAATGTGTGAAGCCCATCTTTCCTCTGATTCTTAAAGGAGCCAGTGGCACAAGTGACTAAAACCTAGGGCAGCAGGCAGGGCTTTCTTGGTCTGTCCTTGCCATTTCATCTCCCAGCAACTCCTCACCACAATCTTGAACAACACACTCAAAGGTTTCCTTGCTTCTAACTCACAACCCACATCACTAGGTCCTGAAGCCTGTTTTTCTCCACACTATTCTCTTGCCCTCCATTTTCTCCAGAACTGTTAAGGTTTCTCTGGGTTCTGCTCTGCATCTCAAATGTCCCTTTCTGTTCCAGTAGCCAACTAGGTACTCACCTTCATTCCCATGATGATGTGCCTGCTTTTCAATTGCCTACTGTTTCCACCCCCTAACAGACTGACCTCCTGCTCCAAGCTCCTGGAGGCCCCACAGCCTCAACACAGTAAGAGCTCACACTTGCCAAGCGCTTGCGTCTTGCCAGACCCAGTGTTATGTGTGCTGTCCACTTTTTCCCATTTAATTTCACACCAACCTAAAGAAGGCAGGCCATCAGCCTTTCCTTAACTAAAATTGAGACTTCACTGACTTGGTGAAGCTGATACACCCCAAAAGAGAGCTGGATGTGAGATAGGGTATCCAGTGGAGGACCAGTGGGCACTCTTGCTTCTCTGAAAGCTGAATGGAACCTTCCCAGTGACTCTCCCTAGTTCCTGCTGCTCTCTCTTGGAACCTTCCACTCCAACCAAACTGGCCTGGTAACTATTTCCCTAACGTACTATGCTTTCTGTTACTTATTCACCCCATCCTCTAAGTCTACAATGAATTTATGAAAGGTGTTCCTCTTGGAAAATAAACAATATTAACCCATACTCGGGCAATAATTAGACTCAAACAAAGAAACCAAAGACTGTTTCAATGAAAATGACAGGTGTAAAATTTCACATGTAAGGCTGGATGATGGTGCATGCCTTTAGTCCCAGCACTTGGGAGGCAGAGGTAGGCAGATCTTTTTGAGTTCAAAGCCAACCTGGTCTACAGAGCAAGTTCCAGAACAGCCAGGGCTACACAGAAACCCTGTCTCAAAAAACTGAGAATAAATAAATATATTAAGTGAGTAATTAAAAAAAAAAAAAACAAACAAACAAATGGACAGCTATCCCTTGGGATAGTTCTCTCTCTTCCTCTCTTCCTTTTTTTTCCCTAATAAAGTTTGCATGCATACATACATACATATACATGTATGTAGTTATATGTGTAAAGTTACAAACTTTATATATAATTTTATAAGTATATAAAACAAATATAGTTGCATACATAAAGTTACATATGAAAACCTAAATTTTACATATAACTATATAATTATGTAAGGGTTTTTTTTTTTTGTTTTGTTTTTGTTGTTGTTTGTTTTTCAAGACAGGATTTCTTTGTGTAACAGCCCCAGCTATCCTGGAACTCGATTTGTAGAACAGGCTGCCCTTGAACTCACAGAGATCCACCTGCCTCTGCCTCCCAAGAGCTGGGACTAAAGGTATATGCCACCACCACACGGCTAGATTTTTTTTTTAAGCCAGGATTCACTATAAAGTCTATGCTGGAGTTGAATTCGTGAGGCTCTTACCTCAGGCTCCCCAAGTGCTACCCAGCTTTTGCAATCAGATATTTAGAAGACTACACCCTACAGTCTGAGGATGGGCAAGGCTGGCAGGAGAGCTCAAATGAACTGACATCTTTGCAGCAACCCCCACCACTCGCACTTCTGAGTGAACCTGCAGCCCACTTCTGTGTTAGGGAATCCAACTCTTTTCACAATCACAGAGTCTCCAAACTATGTCCCCATCTGCTCTCAGCAATGTTGCATATAGCTGCTATTTTGGAGGCAGCCTCGTTATCCTGGAAGCAGGAATCAGAAAGAGCAAGAGCTCCAGGGTCACCTTTATCCAGGTAAGTTCCCACTTGGCGGCTGTTGACTGCTAAGGCAAGTCCCTTACAGCTCAACCTGTCTTTTCATTTATAAATGGGGGCAATGTCAACACTGATCCCAGACAGCTCCTGTGTACATCCAGTAGAGATAACAAATAGGACATGCATGTCATGACAGAGACCAGGCCACATTCCAATGAAGGCTAATGTCATTGCAATCTGACTTTCATTGCCAAGGCAAATTTCTCATTCCTACCACTGACTGACACCTGTCCTAACACTAAGAAATCCAGACACTCTGTTTTGGCTGTTGCCCAAGCTGGCCTCAAACTCATAACCTTCTTGTCTCCACCTCCTGAGTGCTGGGATTGTGGTTATGCACCATCCAGAAAGATTTGCAGATTCCCAAGGCACTGCCAGATACAATGTTTTAACTTTCTTTCAACTCCCTAGTCATATTTCACGGCCGACACATCTATGTGTGATATATAAAACATCTGTATCCCAGCACCACAAGCCTCCAACACTCCTGTGCTATCTAAACCAAGCGTTTGTGACCTCTGCTTTGGCATGTGGGGGCCACCCCTGTACATCCTCAGGTCCTACATCCTACATACCTATCATTTTCTGGAGCAGTGGTGAATTGCCTTTTCCAAAGAGCACACAGAGGTCCAGGATCTTTGGGATGTCAAAGAGGAAGTTATCGTAGAGGATTTCCCCAAATGCAGATGGAGAAATAAAGTGATCCTAAGGGAAAAGTACAGAGAGAGGATGGAGGCCGAGTGTACAGACACTGCAATAGCAAACTCTTGAGAAACCACCTTGATGCTCATCAGCTGGGAACAGGCTAATCAATGGTCACATGTCTATACTGTACATATATGTCTGAATTTTATGAAAAGACTGAGAATTACAGTGATTCTGCATTTTCATGTAAATAAAAACAGAAATACCATGAAAAAGTCAGCAGAGGCTGTTTTTAAGTATTGATGGGCAAATCAGCCAGTGTCTGTGGTTATATAAAAACAGTTCACCAAAATAAGCAAACTCAAGGGAGATTAAACAAGATAAACAAAACACTGGTAAGAGGACATGGGATTGAGTCATTGTTTGGTATACATGAAACTTTCATTCAAATATATGCATAGATTTGAAATTTAATTATAATGAAATGCAGCTTAAAAATTAATATCTATTGGGTTTGTTGGTGAATGCCTGTAAAAATCAGTATTCAAAACTGGGTGGTGGTGTTACATGCCTTTAATCCCAGCACTCAGCAAGCAGAAGCAGGAGTTCAAGGTCACCCTAATCTACAAAGTAAGTTCCAGAATAGCCAGGACTACACAGAGAAATCCTGTCTCAAAAAACCAAAATAATATTTGTAATAGTAATAAAATATATCTTTTTTTTTTTAAAGTATGTTTCACTAAGTAGATCAGGTTGGATTTAACTTGAAGAAACCTGCCTGCCTCTGCTTCCTGAGTTACTGGGATTAAAGGTTTGTGCTACTATTCCTCACAAAACAAATATTTAAAACAGGATTTTTTTAGATTCCATGAAGGACCATGCACATTAGAAGTAGTGACTCCGAAGGCTGGTAAGATGGCTCAGTGTATAAAGGTACTTGCCAACAAGTCTGGTGACCCAGTCACATATTTATGTATATACATAAATGGAGAAATATTCTCATGTATAAATTAATTAAAAATAAAATAAATATTTTAAAAAGCAAACATATGAGGGCTAGAGAGATGGCTCAGTAGTTAGGAGCACTTAGCTGTTCTTCCAGGGGTCCTGAGTTCAATTCCCAGCAACCACATGGTGGCTTACAACCATCTATAATGGGATCAGATTTCTTCTGGTATTCAAGAAAACAAAGCACTCATATACATAAAATACATGAATAAACAAATCTTTTTTAAAAAGTATACATAAGAGTTCTTCAAAGAGTCAGACTCAACATCCTTACCTTCTGTCACATGAATAAAGGCACTGCCAACTGTGACAAGGACCCTGGGTCCCTGCTGATGAGAACACTGAGTGTACTGTGGGTAGGCTGGTGGATTAGAGAAGGGAAATGAGTGGCACAGATTTTTCCCCAAAAGATGGGAATGAAGAGGGAGACAAAGAGGAAAGCTGACACTCTCAGAGCCTTCCTTCCCATGGGCAGAGCCTGGCAGAGGTGTTGGGTGACAAGTGGAGGCGTGTCACAGGATCAGAAGCTTACTTTGGATTCCTTGTGAGTGGACATTCGGAGGAAGATGAGGAAGATGCTTCGATGTAGGTGTTTCTGCATGTCAGCAACCTCAGGGGTCGGGGCCACCCACTCATCAAACTTTCGGGGTACATAGCGTAGATAGGAGTCCAGGCACTTCTGCAGGGTCTCATCAAAAACAACCTATGCCAGGAGAGAGGAAAGCAAGGACCCATTGCTTAGGTAGACTACACAGGTGCACAAGGCCCATCATCAACCCTGACACATCGCAAACACTCCAACCCAAGGACCAAGGAGGTATGAATGAGCCCAGAGCTAAATACAAGTTTCTTAAATGACAGTGTGTAAAACATCAGGAAGGTTGCAATATGAGTCAACAATCCAAACCACTATTTGCTGTTAAGGATCCAAGTAAAGTAGACAAAAAAGCAACTCCTAGGGAAGAGAAAACAGCAACCAACCAAAGACAGACATGTCATGTGCTTTGTCTTAGTGTTAATTTTGATAGAATGTTACCTGGCACCAGAATTTATCATGAGGCAAGGCCAGGAGCCAGTCGAGGTCATTGGCTACGAAGGTGGCGCGTTCCAGGTACTCCTCCACTAGGGCGGGAATGTTGTCTTTAGGGGGCGGTTTGTATAACACAAAATACCGGTCTGCCTTCTGCTCAGGGTGCTACGGATCCAAAAACCACGTGTTAACGTGGCAGAGGTTAGTCAGCGAGGGCCCATTTGCCAACCCACAGCAATGATAGTACTTGGCTGTTCCAACCAGAGACCCTCCAAGGAGCTTGTAAGTATAAAGAACCCAGTGTATCTAACAAAGATGCCATGGTTGCACCCAGGGAGTGCAGGTGGTTGTTAAAAAACATGTTTTTGGGAGAATTTTTAGAAGAGAAAGGACACAAAACTCCAATATAACCAGGTTTGGAATGTTTTTAAAGTCTATGTATTTGCATATCGATACAGGTTTTTAAAAAAGTAGTAAGGAGGGGGTCTGGAAAGATGGCTCAGTGGCTAAGAACAGTTGCTGCTCTTCCAGAGGACCAAGGTTCAATTCTCAGCACACACATAGCAGCTCACAACTGTCTTTAACTCCGGTTCTAGGGGATGTGGCATCCTTAAACAGATATACATGCAAGCAAACACCAATGCACATAGAATAAAAATAAATAAAATTTTTTTTTTAAAGAAGAGGACAATCCCCAAATTTTACACTGGTTATCTTGGAGCTAGAGAATTATGGCTTCAACATATTTTTCAGTATTTTTTTTTTTCTTGAGACAAGGGCTCACTATGCAGACCAGCTGGCCTCAAACTTAGAGCTCTACCTGCCTCTGTCTCTCAAATACTGGAATAAAGGTGTAACCACCATGTTTGACCTTATTTTCCCATTTAAGAACAGTGAACATGTATTTTTTAAATTAATATTTAATTATCCGAGTACCAGGTACACATCTTTTTTTATTACGTGGGCTGAGGGTATGGCTCGGTGGCAGAGTGTGTATGTGAGGCCCTGGGGTCAATCCCCAGCACCAGGAGGGGCGCGGCAGGAGGGAGGGGAAACGAAAAGGTGAGGAGGAGGAAATGGGAGAGGCGCGCACTTTGCTAGTCCCCACGACCTCCCAGGGGAAATCACTGACCATTTGTTGTCCTCCTTACCTTTCTAGGCTTTTACATTAGAATATAGTGTATGCATATCAATTATTTGTTTCAGCCTGTTTTTCCTTTCTCATATAAACAGCATTATACTGTATATATCACTTTTTTCCTTTTATATAACCAGAAACAAAACAGAAAACCTCTAATTTTTTTTTTTTAAAAGATTCTAATCAAGTAGCTGCAGATCTGAGCCTAGAGTCACAAGTTCTTTCTCCCAACCCTAGCCATGCCATGAACAAACCCCACTTTGTTCACATAATGAAGAGCCCATGGGCTCAGTGGCTCGGCTTTCACCCCAGTCTGCGTGAGAGCTGAGAGCAGCTTTCTGGGGAGGTTGTAATAGGAGGAGGACCAGGCCTCAGCTGTTATCAAGCACAGCCTCCCACTTCCAGAGCCAGCTCTAGGACAGTCAAGACTGATGGGTCAGTCTCCTTAGGAACCTTGAGGAGTATGCAGGTTCCACAAGGATCCACTGCTGGCATTTAGCATACAGGTCTGTGGGAGCTGCTCCCATTCAAATCCCACATATAGAGTGGCGGCATTCAGCCACTAATCTGTTGAAGAGAGCTTATCTCCTCTTGCATTCCAAGCTTCCTTCCTCCTTGACCTGCTGACACCCTTTACAGGGTCCCACTGTGTCAGACACAAGAATAAGAGCATCTATGTGCTGAAAGTCTCAGCTCAGAGTCTCAGGTCTTCTCCAAGTCACATCTAAGCCACCAAGGGAGCCCTAAACAGATGAAGTGACAACGTAGGCCTGAAGAGTCATAGGAGCACACCCCCCCACCCCCCGGGAAGGGGATGCTTCTCTGGGGAGGCAGTACCTAAACTGAGCCTCGGAGGAGGAAAAGGACTTTGTAGGTGGAGGAAAGTTGCCTGGTTCTCCCTTCCTCCCTCCCTCTCTCTCTCTCTCTCTCTCTCATGTGTTCTTACCACACAGCCCTGGCAGGCCTGGAATTTGCTATCATAGACTAGGCTGGGCTCAGATTTAATAGAGCTCTGCCCGCCTCTGGAATTTATTTACTTATTTATTTTGATCTCTCAAGACAGGGTTTCTCTGTAGCTTGAAGCTTGTCCTGGATCTCACTCTGTAGGCTAGGCTGGCCTTGAACTCACAGAGATCCACTTGACTCTGGGATTAAAGGTGTGTACTACCATTGTGAACAGGCAGAGCTGGGCACTGGAGAATGGGTTTAGATGGCCAAATGATGACAATAAATCTATCACTTATTGAGGGCCCATGCTATGCCAGCTGTGGAACAGGTATGTCAATTTCTTTCTTTCTTTCTGTTTTTCATCTGCAATTAGCTAAAAAGAGACAATATTCTTCTTGTCTGTCAGAGGATAAAATACTTAGTAAGGTCCAGGAACTTTCTGAAAGGCCTTGAGGTTAAATAGGCATCTGAGGCAGGTCTTGAAGCAAAGCTTACGATGCAGAACAAGTATGATCTATGGCACACATGTGCTACCCTAATCTCACTTCTTGTCCTTCTGACCTTACTGCCTCCTAAACCCTTCCTAATTCTCCTTTAGGCTGGACTAGGGCATTGTGTTCACCTGATTATGGCACTTGCTAAACGGCATCACTTGTTGTTGGGTACAGGGAGAAAGGAATAGATTATAGAAGTTCACAGGGGACTTTCAGGGAAAGTAAAAATGTCCACTGTCTTGACCATTGGCAATGGTTTCACTGGTATATTACCAATGCCAAAAAACAATCAAATGTTGACTTTAAATACTCAGTTTACTATATCTTTCAATGATACTTCCACAGTGCTTGGCATTGAGAGGATAGTCCACACATTCATTAGCTGGACAAAGGAATGAATGGCCAGATCCTGCCTCTGAAGGGCTTAAAATGGCAAGCTTTGTAGGAGGGAACTCTACTCTAAAATAAGTAGCCATAGATGGTTTCAGAGCAGGGAAGCAGCAGGTTCCAGGTGTGTCTCTCCTACCCAGGTTCAACCCCACCTTTCAATAAGACCGGCTTAGGGACTATCTGCTATGGAAAACTAGGAAAATACAGCCTTCTACGTATCTTGATAGGAACTCATTTTCTTACTGTCCTTCAAGGGTCCAACACTATTTCTTACAAGTTTTTCAAGTGCATGCTCCTTGAATAATAGCTACTCAATAGACACCAATATGCTCCACCCATCACTCTGCAGAGGTACCGTAATGACTGTTCCTAGGGCAGAGATCTTTTTGCCCCAAGCTGAGACTCAAAAGACAAAACACTATGCAAATCTCAGGACAATGTTTCAGGAGTTTAATGTTCTTCATTATGACCAACAAGACCTGTCTTCAGCTAGACAATTGTTTTTGAGCTAGTCCCTGTCCCCACCCTAGTCCCACAAGGGAAAGGACTGAGGTTGCCACTCAAATCGCCATCAGCACTGTCCAACAGAATATTCTGTGACAATGCAACTGCATCATCTGCCTAAACAACACAGTAAGCATATCATATGATGGAATTTCATTTGATTTGATTAGTTAAAATTCCTGTTCCAAGTCGGGCATGATGGTGCATGCCTTTAGTTCCAGCACTTGCGAGACAGAGGCAGGCGGATCTCCGATTTTGAGGCTAGCCTGGTCTACAGAGAAAGTTCCAGGACAGCCAGGGCTACACAGTGAAACCCTGTCTTGAAGGGTAAAAAAAGGAAAGAAAAATAAAAAATAAATACCCTACTCCAGGGTACTAGACACATTACGACTGTTACACAGGTATATGCTTCCTAACAGATGGCTCCTGCACTGAACAGTACATACAGTTCTAGCTTCCCTTGTTTCCTGGTTTTGTGACCTTGAACTCTGTAAAATAGTGACAATCAAAGCATCCATTCATAGGGCTGTGATGCAGCTTAAAAGAGAAAAACTGGGCAGGAGGACACGAAGTCGCATCCCTAGCTATGGAACTGTTGGTAACTGAGAGCTGATGGAAGGTAAAGTCATTTCTCTCTAAAGGCACAGTCACTGGTGAGTTGAGCACCTTCCAAGAAAGGCCTCGCATCCAAGAGCACATGGGTAGCATCAACCAGACTTAATAGGCTTCAGAAAACAAGAGGATACAAAATTAGCTGGGTGAGGAATGGGGGCCAAATCCGCACAAAATTCTCAAAAAACGAGTTAAAAAAGAGGGGGAAAACGAAGAAGGAAAGTTAATTTGGAAGACTTGTTCAGAATGGCTTGGCTCACATGAGGCACCCTGTACATGCTAAATTCTATTATTAGAGACTGGATGGGAAATTATAAAGGCCAACCAAAATGCAGAAGTTAAAAGACTGAGTGCCCATTTCCCACGACTTTACTCAGGCCTCCAGAAGCATTTCTTCCCACCTTGTGCAAGTAAGCTCATGTTCTGGGGAAATCTACAAGAGGGTACAAGGACTCAGATCCCCACTCTCTCTCTTCCTTTAGCAGCCTGGCACTTCTCCACGGCTCTCTAATCTCTCTGATGCTGGGAACTGGCAGGTCCTCAGTCTCCTTAGTTTTTGGGCTTACAGGCCCTGTCAGAGGCTATGTATGTCTCACTTCTTGTCCCAGATAAGAAAGACTGACCCAACCTCTGAAATCAGTGATCCAACAGAAGTATGAGCAGCAGCTTAGATTTAAACACACACACACACACACACACACATTAGATTTAAACGTATATATTTATATATATTCCTATATGAATCATTAAGTCCCCCTCAAAGGCCAATCACCAAACCAGGACTCAGAACCATTTCTAGCCCAGCTCAGACTATGTCAGAACTGCTTTCAGACTGACTGGAAATTAAATGCTTTGACATAGAAAATACTACTCAAATTTGCACTGCTTCTCAGAAACCAAGTTCTACACTAGGCTTGCAAGGGGCTAGCAGTATCTCAACTACTCCACAGTAGCCATTGGACCTAGGGTCATTCCTGGAACAGAAGACGAGGACTTTATTTTTTGTTTCTGAAATTGTAAAGCTGATTCTTATCAGGCTAAACAGCATCAAGACATTGGCTCACCAGTGCTGGCAAAGTCTTCGGCTTTCCGGTCTTCGGGTCTTTATGGGTGATCTGGAGTTGGTCCAGGGGCAGAGCTGACATTATGCCGTATGACCCTCCTAAAAGGAATATGGATGGGAAAAAAAGAGCAGACACACTGACTCCTAGAGGCAGGGCCTACTCTGTAACTGATCCCAGCACCACCATCAACTCCTGGTCACAGTGAACTCCTAAGTTCTTAGACTACTTTTCTCTTTTTGTTTTTATAGTGCTGGGATGGAACCAGGGCCTCACCCTGTACTGAAACAGCCTGTGGGCACTGAGAAGATGCTACTCACAGTTCTTTCCCTTTCTAAAACCAGCACAGGCCTCGCCAAACATTGGATGAATGATAGTGATGAGAAATTTTCACTGCTGTGATGGGGAGAGAATTCATCACAAGTGCTAGGCTAGCTCTGCCTCTGAGCTACATTCTTCAGAACAAGAATACTCTTCTCAGATCTCACAAGACGTTAGATCTTTCAGGGGTTGGGAAATGGACTTTTCCTCATTTGTAGAATGTGTTAAGACTTAACAAGGTCTCCAGGCTTCAGAGGACGGCATGACAAACAGAAGGAAGAGAAAATACATAGGATTCTGTAAATACATGATTCCTTCCACAGAGGTGCCAAACTGGCTTCAATGCCAGGAGTTGGTCAGCTGGGCACAGCTCAGGGAGACAATCTGTGCTTACCACACACAAGTCCCTGGGCTCAACCTCAAACAAAAATAAAGTAATGAAATGGCCCCCAAGTGGACTTTGGAGATAGTTCAGTCAGTGTTGTCCAGACTACACAAGCATGGGAATCTGAGTTCAATCCCGAGAACCACTCACAAAAAGCGGGATGTGATGGTATATGCTTGTGATCTCAGCATTGAGAAAGGGGAAGATGAAAGCTTCCTTAGCCAGTCAGCATAGTCACTAGGCAAGCTCCAGGCCAATGAGAGACTCTGTCTCAAAACAAACAAACAAACAAACAAACAAAATGGATGACTTCTGAAGAACAACTCAACTCCTGAAGTTGATCTTTGACGCCACACATGTACATTTGTACCCACATATATGTGAACACAGTTCCCAAAGCCAGCCTAGCAGACAAGCTCTTCTGTGTTCCCTTTTTATAACACCACTTGCCTTATTCTCAGGAAGGACATGTGTATTGCTTGAATCATGGAATGTAGGTCAATTAAGCCTTTCAAAAGACATGCCAGTAAAAGGCCATTATGGTCTCAACAACAACAGGAAAACAAATCAAGACTAGAAGGAGGAAATCGCTACCTCCTCACAGATAAACTGAGGATATAAGTAGCCATTTGTTACCAGGTGTCCCAAATGTCAGATATCTGGCCCAGCCCTGGTGACATGAGACGTATGGACAAGACAATAGCAACATGCTTGTTAGATATTGAGTACTCGTCTAAGGGCTTTCCTTGGCACTTTAATATACCTTTTAAAGTATTTATGAGACAAGGTCTTGTGATATAGGCTAATTCTTAACTCCAGTAATCTCCTGCCTCAGTCTCCTGAGTACTTGTCTACACTACAACATGCAACAACTGGCTCACTCTTTTCTCCTCTTATCATTGTTTTTTTTTTTTTTTTTAATTTTGAGACAGGATAGACACAGGATCTCATGTAGCTTAGGCTGGTTTTGAGCCACTCCTCCTGTCTCGGCCTCCTGAGTGCTGGGATTACAAGTTTGTGGCTGTAGCTACTTCAGTCCCTACTATGTAGCAGGTAATGACGTTCAGAAAATACCAACATGGGCAATGAACTGACTGGGTGGTGCCATTCACAAAGCTTAGTCTTCATGAGAATAACAGAGACAAAGTCAATTGCCATACAAATAACAGTGTCATGATGTTTGCCGAATATGCAAGGTTCCTGAAGCATTTAACAAAGAGAGATGAGTTACAGGAGGAAGGCATCAAAGAGGATTTGAGTTTTCACTTAAAATATGGGTAGAAAATAAAGCAAAGACTAGACTTTGAGTCAAAAAAAAAAAAAAAAAAAAAAAGATAGCTGTGCAACATATACCTTCTGGGCTGGACAGCAAAGGCCAAAGTTAAGAAAGTGTTTTCGGGGAAGCGGCTTGATAAATTAATAACTGTTATATGGCCAGTGAGCATCTCCAGGGCTACTTACTGCCGCCTCAGTCATCCATCACTTTGCTGGTCTCGGTTCAACATTAATCTATTTAGAAACCTTCCCAGATCCTCCCTGAAATAATCTCTGTCCCTGTGACTCACTGTCATGTCTGTAATTGCTTTATGCATTTACTTGTTGACTGTCTCCTTCCTCTAGACTGTAAGTTCCACGAGCACAACAGCTGTCTGTCTTGCTGTTTGTGTCCCCGGAGCCTAGGTCTGTACCAGGCACATGGGAGTCGGTCAACAAACATATTCTGAATGCATGAATGCCGAGGAGACTGTAGCTGGGAGAGGAGGAGGTGACTGGGGTTCGTCCCAGGTCACTCTGAGACCAAACCTTAAACCAAACCGGAACCCCAGGCTCCGGTTCTCTTGGCGACTCACGGCCCCTGGGGCAGTGTAAGCCTAGCCCCGTCGAGAAGCCCATGAGCTGGGGTGCCGAGGGTGCCCGAAGCTCGGCCCTGACTCTACCGAGCTCCACCGGCGGGACCAGGCATGCACTCACCTCCGGGTTCCACACCCAGGCGCGGTACACGGTGACAGCTTCCACAGAGCCAACACTTCCGGGGTCAAATGGCGATTCCGCAGGCGCAGACAGGAAGCCCTGCGCTGCTCGCCGGGCCCGTCCCCCGGAGCCAACGGTCGTAGAGGATGCTAGGGCGGGCCACGCCCCTACAGGAGGACCCCGCCCCCTAGAGGCGCTGGGGCTTGACCCTGCATGCCTCTTTCCCCTTTTGGTGGCCACGTTTGGATTAAGGCATTCATTCCTGTTTGGGAAACTCTCAGAATCCCAAACTTCCACTGCTTCAGTTACCGTTTTACAAATTTAATCCAGAAAAGTTTTAATGAGTCAAAATCACAAACGTGATATTAAGAGAGCAGAAAAAGAGGTAAGCTAGTGTAGGGTGTGGTTCCACTTACTGAATGTTTTAAACAACAAAAGTAACAAGTATTAGAGAATTTTGGACCCACAAATGACAATGGAGGTCTTCATCTTGGTGGTGGCTATATACACATGGATTTACTTAGGAAGACTTAGCAAATTGTACGCTTAAGATTTTTCCACTCTTCTATATGTGTATCTACACAGTACAAAATTATTTAGACGGGTCATTGTAGGCAGGTTGACATAGAATTCACGATGTAACTCAGGGTAGCTTGGAACTGGTAGCTATATTCCTGCCTCAGCCCACCTAGGGGCTGGGATTACAAGTGTATCACCAGCATCAGGAGTTGTTTAAATCAGAAAGACTGAGGAAAGCTATCTTAAAAGCAGGATCCAATTTTTCCATGGAAATGTCTCAATTGATGCAGAGCTAATGGCTCGCAAGCCTGACTAAGAATCATCACAGTTGGGGGAGGAAGCTGGAGGAGAAGAGGGATGAGAAACTGGTGGTATGTAAAATAAATTTAAAAACCGGGGAAAAAGTTATTACAGAAAGCTAGTTGATAATACTCATCTGCTGCTGGTAGTGGTGTAACCTGTAATACCTGCAGTTGGGAGGCTGAGGAATGATTGAGAAATCCAGGCCAGCCAGGACTATGCCATGGAAGAGCTCACACTGTAGAAGAAACAAAAAAAAAAAAAAAAAAAACAAAAAAAAAAAAAAAAAAAAAATAGCTATGAAGTCAAGTGATATGTGTGAACTCATTGAAGAAGTGGGGTGATGGGTTTTAAACCAGAAATGGGATGAGGGAGTTTTACTAATTGGTTATGTTTCACTATGTAACAAATTCTCATGGACTTTGTAACTTATAACAACACAGCCCACCCACATTCTCTGTGGGTTAAGAATCTAAGCATAGAGACAGGCTGTGGTGGTACACACCTTTAGTCTCAGCCCTCGGGAGGCAGAGGCAGGCTGATCTCTATGAGTTTGAGGCCAGCCTGGTCTACAGAGTGAGTTCCAGGACAGGCTCCAAAACTACAGAGAAACTCTGTCTCGAAAAATCCAAAAAGAAAAAAATAAAAAGGATCTAGGCATAGGGATGAGAGGTGACACAGTGGTTAGGAGCACTGGCTGCTCTTCCGAAGGACCCAGGTTCAATTCTCAGCATCCACATGGCAGCTCCCAACTGTTAGTCACCCCAGTTCCAGGGAATCCAGCACCCTCCCACAGACATATTTGCAGGCAAATTCCCACTGTACATAGAAAAACAAATTTTTTTAAGTAGCTTGCTTCAAAGAATGCAAACTGAGAAGGCAGTAGAGAGCTTCTAGGAAGACAGAAATAACCTTACCATGTCAAAACATGATTTTTTTGCTGTGTTCTGTTAGTGAGAAGCCAATCACAACTTCTGCTGAGGGCATGAGCACCAAAATATGGGGATCAAAAAGAACCATCTTAGAGTTGGCCTGCCAAGTAGAAATCACCCATCTACCCGGGTCTGAGGACATGGTAGAGGTAGTTGTGATATAATGAAAATAGTGTTACACCCTTGCTTTAGTCCAGATAATGGATATTGAATTTCATGTGTATTATTTCCTTGACCACAAAACTTGTAAGAAGTAGAAGGCAGTTACAGTGATACATACCCATAATCCTGGCTCTTGGGTGCCTGAGACAAGAGGATAACCAGTTCAAGGCTAGCCTGGCTTGTATAGCAAGTTTCAGGTCATTTTGTAGAGAAGTATAGAGAATAAATCAGTCCTAGAGGTGGTAAGAGAGTAGAATGAGAACATAACCATCCCTGTGGCTCTGGGACCTGTCTTCATGACCTTCTTGCCCAAGGGCCTTCCCAAGACTCAAAAGCTAAGTTTAGAGGGGACTCAATTCTGGTAAAAAGCTTTGTGGCCACATGCCACAAAATGTGTCAGGATAGTGTACATTCCCCTTACTGTTGTCATACTTTAGTCAACCCAATTGTCTATTGCCATGGAAAGGGCTGTCTTGTTTTTCTTTGTCAACATACATGTTGGGCGCAAAGGAAATCTGGTCTGTATTTTGGTGGCTGGTTGGGAGGAAATCATGTGTAACAGACTTTGGTATGAGCAACAATTAAGTTAGGACTTCTTGGGGGAAATGAATGTACTGGTTTCACCTTTTCCTATGAGTACAAAGATACTCAAATCACTGAGGTCTTGGAGCTACATACCTTAATGATACACAGACAAAATACATCCGATGAAATATCCAACTTGGGACCGTAGGTTTCAGAGGTTCAGTTCCCAGCACTACAACAACAAACATCAGGAATGGAAAATAATCTAATTTCTCCAAACGCAGCTCAGTTTAGTTTTTTTTTTGTTTGTTTGTTTTTTGTTTTGTTTTGTTTTTTTCCCCTTTCACAGTTTCTCTGTGTATCCCCGGCTGTCCTGGAACTCAATCTGTAGATCAGGCTGACCTCAGAGATCTACCTGTCTCGGCCTCTCAAGTCCTGGGATTAAAGGCATGTGCCACCACTGTCCTACTTTCTTTTGACAGAGTGTTATTTTGTTTATTATGCAGTTTAGGTTGGACTTCAATTCACAATTATCCTGCCTCAGTCACTCCAGTAAATGTTAGAATTATGGGCTTGAATCACCATATATGACCCAACAGAGTTCTTTCTATTTTGAATATATATTTCATTTTGTTCTCTCTCTCTCTCTCTCTCTCTCTCTCTCTCTCTCTCTCTCTCTCTGTGTGTGTGTGTGGGGGGGGTGAGGGGCGTGGGGGAGGTAGTACCACAGTGTGCATGCTGAGGTTAGAAGACAACTTTTAGAAGCCTGTTCTCACCTTTCACCTTGTTGAGGCGGGGCCCCTCTTGTTTCTGTAGCAAATGCCCTATCTTTAAAAAGGATCACTTGGCTGGATGGTACTGGCACATGCCTTTACTCCCAGCACTCTGGAGGCAGAGGCAGGAGGATATCTGTGAGTTCAAGGCCAGCCTGGTCTACAAAGCTACACAGAGAAACCCTGTCTTGAAAAACCAAAACAAATAAAAAATAAATAAAAATAAAAACAATCACCTTTGGACCTGTGAGGTGGCTCAGTAGGTAAAGTTGCTTTCTGTGGAGCCCACACGGTAGAGGGGACAACCCCAGAGCCCATGTGGTGGAGCCAGAGAACTGACCCCAGAGCCCATGTGTTGGAGCCAGAGAACTGACCCCAGCACCCGTGTGGTGGAGCCAGAGAACTGACTCCAGCAAGTTGTCTGCACTGCATGTTGTGGGATTGTGTACATACACACACTAAGTAAATGTACAAAATATTCTAAATAAAAATGAAAAGTATACCTAAGTCCCCTAATTCTCACCTCATCACTATAAGACTTAAATAAGATAATATAGAAAATTTCAACACATAGCAGGTTGCTATGCTTTGTATCTGAAATGACCCCAAAGACCTTGTGCTAAAGGTGTGGATGCCAGCTGAGGTGTCCTAGGAGGCGGTGGGAGCCTTGGGGCTGGAGGGATGCCTCTTGCTTCCAGTGGTCCAGCTCCTTCCCCTTTGACCTTTCTCCTCCCTTCTCCCCTCTCTCTCCTTCCTTCCTGGTTGCCACGAGGTGACTATCTCTGTTCCACATGTGCACCCCACATGTTAGCCTTAACACAAGCCTAGAAACAATGGAAGCAAATGAACACTGTAGGACAGCTGGTAAGTCAATATTCTCAGACATTTTGTCACAGTGACTGAAAACTAACCAACACAGGTGCTCAAGAAAGTTTAGTGGAGAGGAAGGAAGTAGAGGGAGAAAAAAAGAAAGAAAGAAAGAAAGAAAGAAAGAAAAAGAAAGAAAGGGAGAAAGGAAGAGAGGGAGGGAGGGAGGGAGGAAAGGAGGGAGGGAGGGAGGGAGGAAGGGGGAAGGGAAGGAAGGAGGAAGGGAGGGGAAGGGAGGGAGGGAGGGAGGGAGAGAGGAAGGAATGGAGGGAGGGAGGGAGGGGAAGGGAGAGGGAGGGAGAGAGGGAGGGGAAGGGGAGGGGGAGGAAGCACCGAAGTGGGGAAAGAACAAGGAAGGCTACAAGGGAATGAGGGAGAAGGGAAGGAAAAAAAGTAGGGAGACTATTTTTGGAGTGTTTATCCCTACGTTCCTTTCATCCTTCTCCTGTCCCAAAACAGAACAAGGAACGTGAGATTCCAAAGGAGGCATCTTTGTCCGAGATAGCACATATTCAACTAGAATTAAATTAAAAAGCCAACTCAGCAGGTTAAGTTTCTGGCTGGGCGGGGGTGGTGCACACCTTTAATCCCAGTACTTTGAGCCACAAGCAGATGAATCTGTGAGTTCCAGGCCAGCCTGGTCTACAGAGTGAGTTCCAGGATAGCCAGGGATACACAGAGAAACTCTGTCTCAAAAAAAAAAAAAAAAAAAAAAAAAAAAAAAAAAAAAAAAAAAGAAAAAGAAAGAAAAAGAAAAAAAAAGCTCAAAATAAAACAACATAAAACAACAAAACATATGAAGCCTCAAACCAGGCACCAATTATGCACAAATACAGAGGAATTTCTTGGCCTGTATTTCCTTCCAGATGAGAACAGCAGCTAACTTAAAGGGCAGACATTTCAATTGGCAAAGGAGAGGAGCATCCATAGTGCTTACTGCCGACCAAGTGTGAGGGTAATTAGGGAGAAAGCTATCATGTTGGAATGAGAAAATCAGCATAGGACACAGTATCCAGGCCTGAGTCCTGCCT